AAGTGAGCATTGACCTCATGATGATCTGGAACGGGAACGAGTTCGTCGGAGACAGAGGTCTATTTTTGGACCCAGGCTTCAAGAGCAAGACGGAGTGGCTTCGTGGTTACCCGCACATTGCAAAAGGAAGCTGGGACTTCATTGGACCAAAGGTTCTTCGAGAGATAGGCAAGTTGGCGGATCTACAGTCACGGGCGTCAGTGGGGACGGTGTTGCTCACGTCTGCGACCGACGCCGTCAACTACCACCTCCCACGTGACTGGGGCAACATTATGGCGGATTTGCTCGACTACGCCGCCCAACTTGGGCTGGCCGTCAAGCACTTCAATACGCCTGCAAGCCAAATCCGCAAATACGACCATTTTCACTTCCAGGGGACAGTGTCTATCGTTTGCAGCTGTTGAGGTGGTTGGGTTTTACTGCCAGGATTATGGTCCTTCGTCACCAATGCTCCTTTTTCAAGGAAGCCGACATCGATCTGGTCCTGCAGAACTACGGCCACGTCTCGAAGCCCAACGTCAAGTTCGCTGTGGACGTGCAGGTGGAGGAGAAGCTCCTGAACCATTTTCGCAGAGGAAGGGTAGAGCCCACCCATCAGCCACTCGTCGAGGCTGACCCGTGGGACGACATCTACTTTCAAGGACCCCAGGAGCAGTTCCCCGACACCGCGCCGAACCACTTTGTCCACCGGAACTTCAAGGACCATGTTCACCTGGGAGACGGGGAATATGTCACCCGCGAGGACTACGACGAGATGATCAAGAAGAGCGAGGAAAATGCCCCCCGCCCAGGGGAGGCCGTCGTCGTTCCGTCATCGTCGTCATCGGCGCGGGAGACCAAGGAGCTTTTGGCCAGGGGGGAGGTCTACAGTCGTCAGCGGACCGACCCTGAGTCCAGTGCCCCCAAGCGGGCAAAGAAGGGCCCACCCGAGGCTACCTACGACGAGCCCCGCATCCTCCGGAAGCATGGTTGTTGACGCCGTGGGACCTATTCAAGAAGTACAAGAGGAGCCTGATGCTGAGCGTGAACAAGCCCCATTGGTCAAAGAAGAATTCGATGTCCCCATCCTTGAGGAAGTCGAGGGCATCGTTCCCGAACGTCCACCTCTACATGTTCGCTTCAACACGGACGCCGATGTCATTGAGGTGTCGCCTTCAGGAAGAAATCGTTTGACTGAGGGTCTGTTGCAAGTGGTTGCTGATGAAGAAGTGGCCACACGCTCTACGGCACCGACATCGCAAGAGCAGCGCCCTGGATGGAAGAGGGGAATCACGCAGATTCAATGCGTCAATTGTGGCAAGCTTCGTCTCGAAGGTCAGCACAAGTGCTTCCACTGCGGCTACTACGTCACCCGTGGGGCCACACAGGGTGCCTTCAGAATGTGGATGGCGCGTGAGCGCTCCCATGTCTTGGACGCCCTGGCGGAGAAGTTTGGAAAGGACCTTTGGGAGATGGATGCCGCGAAGATTCGCCAGGCCGCCGGGACGCATGATTTGAGGGGACAACAAAGCGTAGATGGCCGAGCTATCATGCTGGCACGCCAGAATCTCAAAGGCATCACAAAGCACGGCTACACGTCCATGGTGGACAAGTTCGACCAGGACGACACCTACGCGATCCACGCTATCAAGGGCGGCTGGACGAGGAGGCGGCTCACTGTTCAGGACTGCGTGGCATGCGCTTATCTCCCCAATCAAGGCCGTTCTCGCGAACAACGTGAATTGGGCTACGGCTCCAACAAGGCCTGGGAGTATAAGAAGGTCAACCATGAGGGTCTGGCTCGCATGGCGTTCTTCGACAAGAATGCCGACGATCTCGTCCTGGCCGGCCTCATCGACGACCCCAACCTCGAACCTATGGGCTACGCTTGGCTCGGCAACTTCATGGGCGTGAAGGAGTTCGCCCGGATCATCCGCGTCACTCGTGCGGTTTCCCACATCCTCACCTTCACGGAGGGCATCATTGGCATCCCGGACTTCAATGAGGAAGAGCATTTGGCAGTCTTTTTGGCCGAGATCCTCTCCGAGAATTATGGTGGGGCAAAAGAGACGTGCCGCAAGATGAAGGAAGCGGCAGAAGCGTCCAGGGCCGCACAGGCGCGGGCAGACGCAAGAAAGGCATCGCAAAATGCCCCCCGATATGGGGAGGCCGATCGTGAAGCAAATCGTGGCTGGTCGTGGAGCGACAACTCATGGTCGCATGATGACTGGCATTCCTCAAGTTCCTGGCGTGATCGCCAGTGGCAGGATCAAGGATCCTGGTGGAGCTCAGGGAGTCGCACTACGGAGCACTCCCGTGGACCTTGGCGCTACGACCATCGAGATCGCAGCTGGTGAGTCCTGAGTTCCGCAATTCTGCTGGAGTAGCTTAGCATCTTGACCATGACGCTCTGTTTTCCTTTCTTTTGAGGTCGGTGCTGAGTGAACCACTATATTGCACGAGCCACCTTTGTATCCCCGCCAGCATTTCAAATTTCTTAAGCTGGTGCGCGGTGATCTGTGGCGTTGAACCTGAATTAAAACTCGGGTGAGCGCACTTTGAACATACAGTAGAAGAGCAAAATGCAGCACGTAGTGCTTGCCGTGGATTCGTTGACTGCGTTTCAGCATTCACACGCTTCAACGAGGGGGGTGTATTTTATATCTGTGCATTCCCTCCACTTTTGCTTCCATGTATGTTGCACCTACTTGTGTCGCTCAAGCCCTCTGAGTAAAAAGGATAGGCGCGCCCCTGCTCATGGCTTAACGGATAACAACTGGTGGATTTCCCAAACTATAACCCCAAACCCCAAACCTCGAAAAAAAACCCTCTCTAAACCCTAAGCCCTAAACCCTACACCCCAAACCCCCAACCTCGAAAACAAAACCCTCTAAACCCTAAACCCTAAACCCCAAACCCCAAACCCCAAACCCCAAACCTCAAAAAGCCCAAGCCCTAAACCAAAGACTGCAGCGGGCTTGCCAGTTCCCAAAGAAGAAGAACGTTCATGCCGCGGCCCAAGGCTGCCTTAGTTTAGGGTTTAGGGTTTAGGGTTTAGAGGGGGGTTTGGGGTTTAGGGATTATGTGGGGTACCTCATTCCCTCATTCCCTACTAAGAACCCGCCAGGCTGGGTTCAGGATTCAGGGTTTGGGGCGTGGGGTTTGGGGTCCCTGTAAAATTTCTGTAGAAAGTGAAGTCGGGATTTAGGGTTTAGGGTTTCGGGTTCAGGGTTCAGCTTAGTTGAGAATTAGGGAGCAGGTGCCTTGTAGGGGGTGAAACGTACTTAAATCTCAAACTCCCTATTGATATCTTGTAAGTCACTTCAGAGACCTTCTCTAAGGGTGTTTAGGGTTTGGGGCTTAGGGTTTAGGAGGGTAGTTACATGGGCCCTTAATAGGGTCCCTTGTCTCCTTTAAAGGGTTCTGAAGTATGGGCCCTTGGGTTGTTTAGGGTTTTTAAGGGGGTTTATTAGGGGGTCCCCTTGTAAGGGCCCATAATTACTCAGGGACCATGAAACTACCCTTAGACCTTTTGCTGACTGTGGGTTGGGCTTGCTTCTGTAACCCTAAACCCTAAACCCTGAATGCTTCTGCATCAGGGTGTAGGTTTTGCCCCAAGACAGAAACCCCACGGGTTTAGGGTTTAGGGTTTCGGGTTTAGGGTTTAGGGTTTTCGAGAATAATTGCGGCCCCTTTTGGGGTCCTTATGATAAGGCGGCCCCTCGTGTTTAGGGTACCCCAATAAAGGGACCACACATGAGGGAACTGACCAAATACCCTTGGTACGTAGAAGGTGGGTTTTGGAGTACTATACTCTAATAGTTTTTTTGGTTCGGGGTTCCTATTATAGCTACTTATCCCCCAAAAGTACTTTTTTCCCAGGGACTACTCCAAGTCGGGTAAGAAGTGGTTCTGAAGTAGGGTGAATAGGTAGCACAACCCCAACTAAAAGCCCTTTGAGGGTACTTCTAACCCTAAGCTCTAAACCCTACACCACTTATGACTCTACTGTGTGCCGACTCTACCAAGTACCCCGATCCTCCGAGTCAGCTCAAGGGTTGTGGTGCCTTACCTCAGTGGTATCGGGGACCGTAGCACTGAAACCTTAAACGGTTGTAGGGCTTAGGGTATAGGGTTTAGGGTATAGGGTTTAGGGTATAGGGTTTAGGGTATAGGGTTTAGGGTTTAAGGTTTAGGGTTTACCCTTGAACCCTGAACTCCTAAACCCTTGAACCCTTCAGCCCTTGAGCCCTTGAACCCTTGAAACCTAAATTCCTTAGAGCCTCAACCCTAAACCCTAAACCCTAAACCCTCAACCCGACCGCACTCAGATGTTGGCTGTTTGCCTGGACTACAAAGGAACTGAGCCTCGGCAAAAGCTGGTTTAGGCTTCAGGCTTTGGCTTTAGGCTTTAGGCTTTAGGGTTTAGGGTTTAGGGTTTAGGGTTTAGGGTTTAGGGTTTAGGGTTTAGGGTTTAGGGTTTAGGGTTCAGGCTTTAGGGTTCAGGGTTTGGGGCTTAGGGATACGGATCCCGGATTTCAAGCTCAGTCTATGCGGGCGCGAAGATTCCGGAGGAACGCTGTCTGTACGGATGTGCCTACAAGATACTTGTGAGGGAAGGGTGGCAAGTTCTACTGTCTGTCCGTGCTGCTGAGGGTGCTAGCCAGAGACTCCAATACCCCTTAGTTAAGGAATTAAGGAACATGTTCAGAAATATTCCTTCAACCCGATAAGGAACCTTCTCATATTTCAAGGAATGTTCCTTAACCAAGGGGGTCTTGGAGTCCCTGGGTACAATTATTGTGACAGGGGGCTTGATTATGATGGGTGGTGCTTTGCTGCGGTTTAGGGTTTAGGGTTTAGGGTTTGGGGTTTAGGGTTTAGGGTGATATGGCTACTGGGCGAACAAGCAAGGCTTCCAGCTATGACATGATTGGTGAGAAACGACATGATTGGTGAGGAACGGAGGTGGATTTTTGGTCTCAAGGGGGCTAGTAGCTCGTCTGTACACTTTGTCCAACATGGGAAACAGTCAGAGCCACACCAATCCTGCGACAGCAGGGGTTCTTCGGCTAAAGAGGAACATTTTAAAGTTCTCATCAGAGCACACCGTTGACTCTGTGCGCGAGAAGGCTGGCTTGCTTGATACAGAGCACGAGGTCAAAGGCGCCACGTTCAATGAGTTCAAGCTGACTTTCGACACGATGGCGTTTCTTTCTGTGGCAGTGTTGTCATGTGCCATCCACTTGTAAAAGAAGCGCCCCTTGCTGGATTCTCTGGCTTCTACAGGGATTCGGGCACGGCGAGGAAGCTCGCTGAAAGTGTCCATGCCAGGTCAGATTCAGCAGCAGTCAGGGCACAAAGTCCAGCAAGTGTTCGAATCGGACGGCGCGGTTACAGGATCACTTTTCGTGCACGCATCCATCCCAGAGGCTACTGATGCAGCCTTCTTCGAGTGATCGTGTTTCCGACAGGAAGACCTGAAATGACCTGAATGACAGGATTTGGAAGAAGGCTGGTAGACTACAGCCAGCCACAGGATATCCTTTCTGTATGGGGGTTTCGAAAAATAGGGGGTGCCCTTTTTGGGGGGTCCCTTGATAAGATGTTTCTATGCTATCTGGGGTTCCCAATTTCGGGAAATACCCATAATATGCAGATCATACACTAAACCCTAAACCCTAAACCCTAAACCCCAAACCCCAAACCCTAAACCCTAAACCCTAAACCCTAACCCCCTAACCCCTAAACCCCTAAACCCCTAAACCCCTAAACCCCTAAACCCCTAAACCCCTAAACCCCTAAACCCCTAAACCCCTAAACCCCTAAACCCCTAAACCCCTAAACCCCTAAACCCCTAAACCCCTAAACCCCTAAACCCCTAAACCCCTAAACCCCTAAAACCCTAAACCCCTAAACCCCTAAACCCCTAAGCCCCTAAACCCCTAAACCCCTAAACCCCTAAACCCCTAAACCCCTAACCCCTAAACCCTAAACCAGACAGCGTAGGGTGCTCAGGACTCTCCTCTTAGCTGCATCGTGGACGGCGAGCGGGTCTGCGAACTGGCCGCCAAATCTGGCATCAAGGACATCGTAAAGATGCTGCTCGCCTGCAGCAAGTCAGCGGCGGATTCCCCAAAGAGCCCCCCTTTCTACCCCTTTATTATGGAATATTCCTTAAATCATTACTTAAATCATTACTTAAATCATTACTTAAATCATACTAAGTACACTGAATTCAGGAATATACCGTACATCATACTAAGGATTTCTTGAAAGTTCTAAGGTACATTCCTTATTTAAGGGGTTTTGGGGTCTCTCTGGGTCTCTATCGAGCTGAGAGGCGGCCTGCGCGGACATGGACGGGCTTGCCTCAAGCTACCCACTTTGCCTTATACCAATCTCTAGTGCAAGGTTTAAGGACTACGGCTTGGGATGTTCCCCCTTATACTAACAGTCCTTAAAAGGGAGTATAGTACCCCCTACTATAATTATTATTCAGGACTGTTCGTATAAGGGGGAACATCGCAAACTACGCCCTCTGAGGCCTTTAAGTGTGGTTTAGGGTTTCGGGGGGAGCCTTCTGGAGCCCCTAAACCCTAAACCCTAAACCCTAAGCCCTAAACCCTAAACCCTAAACCCTAAACCCTAAACCCCCGTTGAGGTATGATGACGGCTCCACGGAGCACTTTCCGTGCATCGAGGAGCTCAAAGCGCAGGCGCCTCGGTTTCAGAGAGCTTAATGGGATTTAGGGTTTTAGGGTTTAGGGTTTAGGGTTTAGGGTTCAGGGCTTAGCTTTCAGGATTTTTAGTGGCTTTCGGGTGAAATTTTGAAACCCTGCACCCCAAGCCCTCTCCCAAGCCCCAAACTCTTCATCCCTAAACCTGTCGAACCCCAAAACTTGGGATGTTCGCCCTCATACTGACAGTCCTTAATAGGGAGTGTCGTACTCCTTATTATAATCCCTACCCTACTAAGGACTGTTAGTATAAGGGGGAACATCCCAACGCAAAACCCTGAACCCTGAACCCTGAACCCTGAACCCTAAACCCTAAACCCTAAAGATCCTGTGTGAGGTTGCGGCGATGGCCGAGCGATGCAAGCCGGGGCACTTTTTCGTCCTGGAACCTTTGGCTGCGCTGGGGTTTAGGGTTTAGGGTTTAGGGTTTAGGGTTAGGGTTTAGGGCTTAGGGTCTGTGTCATCTTGTCTAGGGTCAGGGCTTATAGATACATGGTTTGGGGTTTAGGCTTTGAGAATAAGAGCTTGCGGTTGGGGTTCGCGTAGTTGTTGCTTGCTTAGGACGCATTGTTTGGTTTAGGGTACGATGTCGAGACTTGTTCCCCCCTCCCCCCCAAACTCCAACATCGCACCCAATGGCGATGTCAGGGCATGGGGTAACCAAGGAATGCTCCCTAGACCCTAAACCCTAAACCCTAATGTCCAAACCCTTAACCCTGAAATGGTGTTGCTTAGGTTTTCCGGTCTAGCTTATGGTGTTTTTAGTCTGCTAGGTTCTGCAGCGTCTGGACGTTATATTGGTGGGCATGGCCGCAGGAGCAGCAGCAACCCTAAACCCTACCCTGCAAGCTAGACCCCGCAAAGCCTAGAAACCCTTAAAACCCTGCAACCCCTATAAACCCGCCAAAGAACCTACGAGAAACCCTATTCTCAAACCCTGAACCATAAACCCAAAACCCTAAACCCCTAACCCTAAAGCCTAAACCCTAAACCCTATGCCCTCAAGCTTGTATTGAAGCCACTGGAGCCCGCCCCTGAATTATCCTAATGTTGGTTAGCAGGGAATGAGGGAATTTGTATAGAAACCCCTTAAAGGATTATGTAGTTCCTACTAAACCCCAAACCCCACACCCCAGACCCCAAACCCCTAACCCCAAACCCTAAACCCTAAACCCCCATTCCCTGCTAGCCAACAGTAAGATTATGTTAAGTGCCTTACATATACCCTTTAAGGGATTAGATAGGGTACCCCCAAACCCTAAACCCTAAACCCTAAACACTAATTGTGTTAAGTCTGGCCGAGGCCTATTCTGGGCACGGCACCAACCAGGAGAACGAAGAGGAGCAGGCACTCTGGCTTTGGGGTTTGGGTTTAGGGTTTGGGGTTTAGGGTTTAGGGTTTAGGGTTTGGGGTTTGGGGTTTGGGGTTTGGGGTTTGGGGTTCAGAGTTTAGGGCCTGGGGTTTAGGATTTGGAGTCTGGGGTTTAGGGTTGTCCTGAATGGGGCGAGTCCCCAACCCGAAACTCGAAACCGCAAACCCTAAACCCTGAGCCCTGAACCCTGAAGCCTAAACCCAAAACCCTAAACCCCAAACCCTCAAACCCTCAAACCCTCATACCCTCAAACCCTCAAACCCTCAAACCCTCAAACCCTCAACCCTAAACCCTAAACCCTAAACCCCAAACCCCAAACCCTACACATCTCATGGATCGGTTGCGAGCTCGGCTGCAGTCGGCAGAAAAACAGAGCAAGGCACAACGTTTAGGGTTTAGGGTTTAGGGTTTAGGGTTTAGGGTTTAGGGTTTAGGGTTTAGGGTTTAGGGTTTAGGGTTTAGGGTTTAGGGTTTAGGGGGCGTTTTAGTAGGGGAATTCGGGAATTAAGCAGGCTCCCTGCTTCACCCTTTAAAAGGTATGAGGTCGTAAATAGGGAGTAGAAGGTACCAAGTGCCCTAGCTCCCTACGCTATGCTCTTGGGAGATTACATATTTTCCCTGATTGGGTTCAGGAGGGCCCCTGAACGCCCTTAGAACCCTTGAATCTCTTAGCGCCCTGAACCCTTCAAACTCTCAATTCCCTTTAACCCGAAAACCCTTCAAAACTTCTACGCCCTTTAAAACCCTTAAAGCCCTTAAAGCCCTTTAAACCCCAAACCAAAATTATATTTCAGAGTTTTACATAGGGCCAATCTCGGGCAAGTACACCCTGTTAACCCTAGACCCTTTGAATCCTAAACCCTTTGTACACCCTAAACCCTAAACCCTTAGAACCCTTTAGACCCTAAACATGCTTTTCAGAGGGTCTAAACGGAGCCAACCCCGGTCCAGTTAGACCCTAAACCCTAAACCCTAAACCCGAAACCCTAAACCCTAAACCCCTTAGACATTCGGATCCTCGAGGATGGACTTGACAGCATCATCTGCCTCCGCACGCGCGACGGCGAGGCAGAACGCGGCTTGGAGTTGCTGCCGGTTCGAGGGGTTTAAGGTTGGGGTTTAGGGTTTAAGGTTTGGGGTTTAGGGTTTAGGGTTTAAGGTTTGGGGTTTAGGGTCTAGGATATAGGGTATTGGGTTTAGGGTGGGGTGTTCCCCGTTATCCTAACAGTTCTTAATAGGCATTCTAGTACCCCCTATTCTAATCCCTATGAAGGACTGTTAGCAGAAAAGGGGAAACATCCCAAGGTTTAGGGGTTTATAAGGGGTTTGGGGTTTTAATAGTTTAGGGTTCAGGGCTTAGGGGTTTGGCCGGCTTTATGGCGAATCTGCATCATGACCGATGCCACAGCGGGTTTGGGCGTTTGGGAGGGGGGGGGGGGGCCTCGAGGTCAAGTGCAGTTGAGCCCTAAAGGTTTAGGGGTTTAGGGTTTAGGATTTAGGGTTTCGGGTTTAGGGTTGAGGGTTGAGGCCCTCATAAACGCCAAAAGCAGGATGACCACATGGTCGATGATGACCTGGCGCAGCTGATTTCGGAAGCCTTTGCGGCTTGACGATTGGTTTGGGGTTTAGGGTTTAGGGTTTTAGGGTTTTAGGGTTTTAGGGTTTTAGGGTTTTAGGGTTTTAGGGTTTTTAGGGTTTTAGGGTTTTTAGGGTTTTAGGGATTTAGGGTTTTTTGGCTTTTGGGGTTTTTGAGTTTTTAGGGTTTGAGGGTTTTGGGGTTTTGGGGCTTTTGGGTTTTGGGGTTTGAGGGCTTTAGGGTTTTGGGTTTTTTTGGTTTGAGGGGTTTTGGGTTTTAGGGTTTGAGGGCTCTCTAGGGTTTTAGGGTCTTATGCTTTGGGTTTTAGAGTTTTAAGGATTTAGGATTTTTATGGTTTTAGGGTTTAGGGTTTTAGGGTTTTAGGGTTTTAGGGTTTTAGGGTTTTAGGGTTTTAGGGTTTTAGGGTTTTATGGCTTGGTTGGACTTTAGGTTTCGGGCTTCTTGGAGCGCTTCAGTAATCGTGAACCCCCTAACCGCTAGACCCTACACCTCCAACCCTCAACCCTAAACCCTCAACCCTAAACCCCAAACCCCTGAACCCCTAAACCCTAAACCCTAAACCCCTAAGCCCTCAACCCTAGACCCTAAACTGCCCGAAGGGATCGGGTTTGGGTCCAATCCTAGAAATGCTTCTTCATGCTTCCGCAGGAGCCTAAATAGGCACCAGCATCATCGCCTTATAACCCCCATAGATTTACAAAGTAAAGCCCACCCACACAACCCTAAGCCCTAAGCCCAAATTTCACATTCCAGTTGAGTTGGCCCGAAATTATCATGCACCTTTACACAAGCCAGAACTCCCCGAGCCCTACCTGGACTAAAGCCCTCAGAAGAATACAGTTTTCCTAAGCCCTACACCCAAAACCCCAAACCCCAAGCCCTAAACCCTAAACTCCAAGCAAAGCCAGTTGTGTGGCTTGTGGCGCCCTGATGAATTCTGGATGTTTTTGTTGATTGCAGTTTTAGGGCCAGGACTACCTAGGAGGTTAACGTATCACTGGCGGTGATCTGCCAAGATACCCCGTGAACCTAAACCCTAAAGTTCCACAAGCCCCTAAAGGCCCAAAAGCTTCTAATTCCTTATCGGCCCTAAGCGCGTAAACCCTGCCCTAAACCCTAAGCCTTAACCCGTAAACCCTAAGCCACCTAACTCTGAACCCTGAACTTCAACCCACCAAAGGACCCGAGCGTCACTGTCCTTGTCCTGGCCGATGCCTGCCCCAGCCTCAGGGCAGGGTCTAGAATTTCAGATTTAGGGTTTAGGGTCTAGCGGTTAGGGGTGTCACGGTTTAGGGGTTTTGGGATATATATATATATATGTACATATATATATATACATATATATATACATATATATATACATATATATATATATATACATACATATACATGTATACACATTCTTATCATGATGGTTCTCAAGTGCACAGGTTTTTCTATGACGACGACCACACCCCAGGGTACAACCTTGGGTGTCCAAGGCGGAGTCCCTTGATATGAGGGCGGCTTCAGGAGCTCTAGGGTTAAGGGTGTTAGGGTTTAGGGTTTTAGGGTTTAGGGTTTGGGGTTAGGGTTTTTGGGTTTTAGGGTTTAGGGTTTGGGGTTAGGGTTTTAGGGTTTAGGGTTTAGGGTCTGAGCCCTAAGCCCTGCTGTTGAGGTGGTCCGAGGTTCAGGGGTTAGGGAGTAGGGCTTAGGGGGTAGGGAGTGGGGTTTAGGGTTTAGGGCTTAGGATTTGGATTTTGGGTTTTAGTTTTTAGAGTTTAGGGTTGGGGTTTCAGAAAAGCCTGAGGCAACAGCGCCGGGGTTCTCGACTGTGACACGCCTGGCATCTGGGGCAAGCGGCACGTGGCGGATGCTTGACTGCACAGTCGCGCTTTTTGCCCGCCAGAGTCGCAAAGCAGTTTAGGGTTTAGGGTTTAGGGTTTAGAGTTTAGAGTTCCTTCTTGTGTCCGCTCGAAAGGCTATCTCTGGATGTCAAAATGAGCAATGCTCCACGGACACTGGCGACGGAGGCGGGTGCACCACTGCAACACATGATTACCATTTCTGCCACAGCAGTGCTAGGATTCAATCCCTTCACTCTACACCATGAATCCCTAGATCCTAAACACCAACAGAAGACGACCACAACCGCAGGATCTAGGAGAGTTGCGACTTCTACCACTGTTCCGAAACCCCAAACCCCAAACCCCAAACCCCAAACCCCAAGCCCCAAACCCCAAACCCCAAACCCCAAACCCCAATCCCCAATCCCCAAACCCCAAACCCTAAACCCTAAACCCTAAACCGAAGGGCCTTGAGGTGTGTTGATCTGTGGCACGATCGGAGCCCTTGCTCTTTCGTGAGTGACTCTGACTTAACCTACACAAGGGGTACTTGTCGTATAATCCTTAGCTAAAAGCTTAGTAGTAGAGTAGGTAACCTTTAACCGTTTCGGGGTAACATAATCCCCTTAGAATCCCAAAAGTTAACCTTTAGTTCCCCTAGGTACTGGACAACTAAGAAAGGGTTCCGATTTTCAAGACGCTAAAGTACTCGGCTTGAGGAAGGTGTACTTTCATAAGCTCGGCAGACTTGGCAGCCCAGTGGTACCCCTTGCCCTTTTTTGGCTCTGGGTTCCCTCATCAAGTAGCCAACCACAAAAAAAAGGGGTGCTCTAAACCCTAAACCCTAAGCCCTAAACCCTACACCCCTTTGCCAGGTGCCATGACCAATGCCTTGTTGCGTCTTGGCAGCGCATGTTGGTGTCCCATGGTTAGTTTGACTGTGGTGGTGTGCTGGAACCTGTCCCAGAACATGTCTAGCCCAGTCCAGGGGTCTGGGGTCTAGGATTTGGGGTTTAGGGTTCAGCGTTTAGGGTTTAGGGTTTAAGGGTTTAGGGCTTAGGGCTTAGGGTTTAGGTCTTAGGGCTTAGGGCATAGGCTGCTAGGGAACCCCGAGCCCTGAACTCTGAGGCACGTGCTGGGCCACAAGAAGATTTCCAAGATGCGGAAGCAGGGCGGCGTGTCCGTACAGCGCTCCGGCTCTGGTGCATTTCGGAGATTTCAGGGGTTTGAGGTTTAGGGCTTAGGGCTTCAGGTTTAGGGTTTAGGGTTTAGGGTTGGGATGTCCCCCCTTATACTAGGAGCTCCTTAATCGGGATTATGGTAGGGGGTATTATAATCCCGACTAAGGACTGTTAGTATAAGGGGGAACATCCCAAGTTTGAGGTGTTTAAGGGGTTTAAGAGGTCAGTTTGAGGGGTGTGGTTCAAGGGGGTTTTAGGTTGGGGTTGAAGTTTGGGGTTGAAGTGATTAGGGGCGCCAGCTCTCTAACATCAAAGTCGTGGCCCGTGGCCCTTTTTAATCAGCAGGTACTTTTGCTATAACAGGAACTTCCTAAACCCTAAATCCTAAACATTAAACCCTACGCTAAACTTTCAACAAGGAGCCATCATTTGCAGGCCTCACCGTGTAGTGCTGGGGCTTGGGTTGTTTAGGGTGAACCTGCCCGTACCCACGCGGGTTTAGGGTTTAGGGTTTAGGGTTTGGGGTTTCGGGTTTGGGGTGGAGTCTACGGGGAAATAGGGTGCTCCTGGTGTGTAGTAGAGGTTTAGGGTTTAGGCAGGATGGTTTCAGGTCTTGGGGTTTCAGTGTTTTTGGTTTCAGGGTTTAGGGTTTAAGAGTCTAAGGGTCTTGATGTTCTTAGGTTTAGTTAGGGTTGAGGACACACCCAGAGAGCCCAAAACTCCTTAATTCAGGAATATACCTGAAATCATACAAAGGATCCCGAATATGGTTCAAGGTATACTCCTTGCTTAATTCAGGAATACATTCAGGAATATACCTTAAATCATACTAAGGATCCCTAATATGGTCTAAGAGGGTATTGGGATGGGGCCCAAGCCCCTCAGCCCCGCGCTCGAGGTACATTTTCAACCGCATGGTGGAAGCAATGCCTGAGGATGAGGCCACCAACGCAAGTGTGGGCACCCTTTTCACTGAATGACGCGGTTTCAGGGGTTGATATGAATTTGTTTGTACATTTTTAGTACCCCCTAGTCCTTTCTATATTCCCTTATGAAGCCAATAACATTTTTCATTTTATAGGGATCCCAAACCGGCCTTAGGTTTGGGGTACATGAGGTTTACTCTGAAGCCTTGCCCTTGAGGAGGAGGAAGAAGAGGAGGGGGAAGATGACGAGTACTACGATGAGGACACTCCGGGAAGGTTGGATGCTTAGGGATTCAGTCGCCCTGTACCCTAAGCCCTAGATCCTAAACCCTCGAGCCTAGACCCTAAACCCTAAACCCAAACCACTGTAGCTTACACAGGATGACTGCGAGGACGAGGATTATGAGTACGAAGATGAGGCTGGCCTTAGGTTTGGGGGCTTCGGGAGACATGTGCCCACTCTCTGGGCATAACTCACCGGTTTCCCTACTAGCCCCCTCTGTACTACCCCCTCCCCCCCAGGTTCCCCCATTAAATAACCTTATTTAGGCTTAATTATCCCTAAGAAAACGTAATTATGGCGGGGGGGGGGTAGTATAGAGGGGGAACCCATGACTACCCCTAAGAAATTTGTTCCTTTTATATTACCCCTTCTAGCTTCCCCCATTAACTAGCCTTATTTAGGCTTACTTATCCCTAAATCGCCTGAATTATGGGGGGGGGAACCGAGGGGGGTAGTATAGAGGGAGGACCCATGATTACCCCTAAGAAATTTTGTCCTTCTATACTACCACTTCCAGGTTCCCTCACTAAATAGCTGTATTTAGGCTTACTTCTCCCTAAATAGCCTTAACTATGGGGGGAGCCTAGGGGGTGGGTAGTATAGAGGGGGGACGCATGAATAACCCTAAGAAGTTTTTATCCTTCTATACTACCCCCCTAGGTCCCCCCATTAAATGACCTTATTTAGGCTTAATTATCCCTAAATAGCCTGATTTATGGGGGGAACCTAGGGGGGGGGTAGTATAGAGGGGGAACCCATGAATAACCCTAAGAAATTTTATGGGTCCCCCTAAATCTTTCTTTTGACTTTGTCCCCCACAACGCCACAACGCTGGAAGTAGTAGCACCGTCTACTTGGGGATTCAGGGCTTATGGTTTAGAGCTGAGGTAGGGATAACGTCGGTCTTTGGAGCTTGGAGGCGAGGGCCTGAGAGAGACTGGCCGCCACGCCCCCCACCCCCCCCCCCCCCCCCCCCCCCCCCCCCCCCCCCTCCCCCCTATCCTAAGCCTTTAAACTCTAACAACTGAAACCCAGAATCCTCAACCCTCAACCCTAAACTCTAAACCTCAAACCCTAAACCCCTAGACCCTAGACACTAAACCCTAAACCCTAAGCCGCTAGAGCCAGCTCCTACCCTGGCAGGAGGAGGATGTCGACCCCATTAGCGGTGGGCGCCCCGGGTATGCTTGCAGCGTGAAGTGCTTGGAAGAGAACTCCTGAAGGGACTCTTAAGCTCGCCACCTTTTCTTTCGTTCAGGGCTTAGGGTTTAGGGTTTAGGGTTTAGGGTTTAGGGTTTAGGGTTTAGGGCTTAGGTTGTAGGGTTTAGGGTTTGGGAGAAACCCTCTTCTCTCGTCATCATGGTGTCTTATGCCAGCCCCACCCCCCAAGCCCCAAGCTCTAAGCCCTAAGACCCTAAGCCCTAAAGCCCTAAAGCCTGCGTAAGCCCCCAACCCGGTTTTTTTAGGGTTTAGGGGTCAGGGTTCAGCGTTTAGGGTTTTAGGCACAAGTCTCGGTTGAGAGTTCATTGGTTGTCACGGGCCCTGAAGCTCCAAAACTCCCAGAATTCCTGGAAGTCCCAGGTAGCTAGTAGCTAGAATCCCATCAAGCCATTTTTTTGGGTTCACTGTTAAGGGTTTAAGGTCTGGGTTTAGGGTTTAGGGCCTAAAAACCTCAAACGCCCAAAACTTTCTAGAAAACCTAGACCCTAAACCCTAAACCCTAGACCCTAAACCCTGAACCCTAAACCTAAACCCTAAACCCTAAACCCTAAACCCTAAACCCTAAACCCTAAAGGTAGTTGGCATCGTCAGCAACGCAGGTGAAGTCCCCGAGCCTGGTCAGAACATCAACCTTTCCTGGCCCGGGGGCTGCGACCCAACCAAGATCGCGTTTCCCTTCTGAGATGTGGGTGTAGGGTTCCATAGGTTTTTGCATATAGGGTTGACAAAGTATATAAGGTTATAGGGTTTCTACTTTCTACAGGGTTTTTTTGATTCAGGTTTTACATACAATATAGGGTTTACAGGGTATGTCGGTTCTTTGCTGACTTGTTATAAGGTTTCTATAGGTTTCTTGGTACAAGGTTCGATGCAGCGCGCATGTCTCTCCGTAGCGAGAAAGCCACCAGTGCTTTTGCCACGATATCCGCGCCGGATTGACTTGGCCGATGCTTTCTGTGTTTGCTGCAGATCGGGACCTTGAAGCAGTCTGAGCAGCTCAAACCCTAAACCCTAAACCCTAAACCCTAAACCCTACGTGTATCCCTCTAATAAGCATGAAACCTCGACCCAGGCCAGCGGCTTGGTAGGCAATTCGGCAGAAAGCACCGGCTGGCAAGAAGCGAGCAGCAAAATAAACCTTCAGTCCGAATGGTTTAGGGTGTTGGGTTTGGGGTTTGGGGTTTAGGGTTTAGGATTTAAGGTTTAGAGTTTTAGGGTTTAGGGCGATACGCCTGGGCCCCTGAGATTGGGGAGGCTTACCCCTAGAAATACCAGCCCGCGAGGCACACCAGATCGATTGCACTCACTCTCGCCAAAAAACACTTGTTTAGGGTTTAGGACTTAGGTTTAGGGTTTAGGGTTTAGGGTTTAGGGTTTAGGGTTTAGGGTTTAGGGTTTAGGACTTAGGTATAGGGCATGCTCAGTTCATCCGGTCCAACCCATGCGCAGGGTTTGGTGTTTAGGGGTTTAGGGATTGGGGTTTAGGGTTAGGGGTTGAGGGTTCAGGTTTAGGGATTGGGGTTTAGGGTTTAGGGTTTGAGGGTTTGGGGGGTTTGGGGCACGCCAACTCCCGAAAGCCCTAAACCACCGAACCGCCGCAACCCCTGAAGGCCCCCAAGCCCGTCAACCCGACAAAGTCCATCCCCAACCCTACGTTTCAAAAAGGCTCACTTAGGGTTTAGTTTGAGGGTTCAGGGTTCAGGGTTCAGGGTTTAGGGTTTAGGGTTTAGGGTTGAGGCTTGAGGGCTTAGTTCTCCTTTGAGGAGCGTTCCGGCGAGAACCTGGCAATGTTGGCTCCCGGCGTGGCCGCATGGATGCAGCCCTTCCCGGCTTGAGACCCTAAACCCTAAACCTAAACTCAGGGCCTAGGCCGCCCCCCTACGTTGGGGGGCGGCGCTTAAACCTCGATGGCACAAGCCGACCCAGGTCGCTCGCCCGCCTCCCACAGCATGGGGGTCGGTAGCGCCCGCGATGGGCCCGGTACCGGAACACGTTCTCCTCGGGACCAGTACTGGTCCCTTATAATAAAATAAATACCCTAAACCCCCCCCCTTGAGTCTGGGGGTCGCTGTCCTTTTTGGGGGGTGCCCCCCCGGGCCCCTAGGCCAGGAGGACCCGCTGGCCCCTCTGGCCCCCCCCCGGCCCCCCTTGCCCCCTGACCCCTCTGGCCCCCACTCTCTGTTTGTGCCCCGCCCGGCCCTCCTGGCCCCCTGACCCTGCCCTACTGGCCCGGCTTCGGGGCCTCTATCTTACCTTCGAGGCCTTGCTGGCACCCTTGACTCTCGGATTCAACCAACATCAAAGTTTTGAAGAGTGGACTGTCGTCTGAGTTTAGGCCTAAACCCTAAAAGGAATAGGTTTGGGTGGCTTTGCCGCCTTGGACGGCGTGGGGTGGGAGAAAGGTGTTTAGATGGCCCTCCACAATCGGGCCAAAGCTGCTCTTCAGCACCTCACGAAGCTTTCGAGCTTGTTCCGAAACCTAACCTTCACAGCATCTACGCCCTATCACAGCAAACCCTAAACCCTAAACCCTAAACCCTAAACCCTAAACCCTAAACCCTAAACTCCCTGAGGCAGCAAGCCTCGGCTTCGCGCGTGGCGACGCGCGCCGGCTGCCGTGGGAGCCTCCGCTTCGGGGTTCTTTTTGGGGTGGCCCACGGTTTTGGGCGTTTAGGGCTTAGGGTTTCGGATTTAGAGTTTAGGGTTTAGGGTGGTTCAAAGGTTTTGGGCTTTTTTGGGGGGTTTAGGGTTCAGGTTTTTTTGGGGCTTAGGGCTTGGGGTTTAGGGGATTCCGGAGTGTAGGGTTTTAGGGGTTTGGTGGTTGAGGGTTTCAGTTTCAGAGTGGCTCAGAGAGCGCAGTCCCTGGCCCCAAAAACGCTCTGAAGTGTTTAGGGTTTAGGGCTAGGGTTTAGGGTTTAGGGTTTAGGGTTTTGGGTTTTGGGTTTAGGGCTAAGGTGTGTAGAAGAGATTCAGATGGACTGCTCTGCAGACAAACACCGACGATTGTTGAGGCTCAAAGCTACCCTAAAGATTGGGTTGTAGATGCAAAGCCCCTCCCCCCCTCCACTAGAGCCCCAACACACCAACTGAGCTCTCAGCCCCAAACCCTCAACCCCCGACCCCTGAACCTTAAACCCTCAACTAGACCCTAAACCCTAGACGCTAACACCTTTAGCTATTATAAGCCAGGGTTCGGCGTTCATGGTCCGATTTCTTATGAGGCATGGCATAGTTACTTTGTCATTCGGTTCTCTAGGTCCGTAGCAGAACGAGACCCAACTCCCTGAACACCCTAAACCCTAAACCCTAAACCCTAAGGGTTCACAAGCAGTCTAGAAGAATGCGGCCATGGCCCTTCGGAACTCCTCGGAAGCCGCCGGGAGCGCGCTGCCCGCGGACGATGAGAACAAGAGCCGCAGGGAGGGCCTCGGTCGATGCCCCGCCGTGCTCCTTGGTTTGAGGGCTTCAGGGGTTTAGGGTTCAGGGGTTTAGGGTTTAGGGGTGTAGGGTTTAGGGTTTAGGGTTTAGGGCTTTGTCGATGCCCTGCCGTTCAGCCCAGTGGTGCCCTTCACCCTGCGGTCTAGGGTTTAGGGTTTAGGATTTAAGTGTCTTTTTCTCTGGGTTCCCTTAAAAAAGCTGCCGACCAAAACTTCTAAAACAGGGTACCCTTATCATAAGACGGGTACTGGGCTACCAAGGCTCAGCCGAGCTTTGGCGATGCTTCTGGCCTTCCTGGTGGTGCCGAGTGCAAGATCTCTGGGCACTGCCGCCGCGGCGACCTTCGCTTACCTTGCGACGGCGGCCCTGGCTAGATTCTGGAGGCCCTTGAGCGCGCGGGGCGCGAACGCGCGTCCGCGGTTGGATGCCCTCAGGCAGCTGCTAGGGTGGTTCACCTTGAGCTGCTGGTTCTGGGCCTGTTTTTGGCCCCTGTTCTTATACTTCGCCTGTTGGAACAACGGCTGGATTCCTGGCTTCCGACCTCTGCGGCCAGGCTATCGGCCTGAGAGATGCAATGGCGCTGAGCTGGCTCAGGAGATCTTGCAGATGGGCGGCTTTGCAAATGAGACCGTGCACTGGGACGCGAGCGCCCACCGCTGCGACTGTGACCTGCCCGACTACGGGGCAGAGGGTGGCCGCTGCAAGACGGACCGTGGGGAGCGCTTCCCCCGCTTTACGGTCATCAGCGCCCTGATCGATGCGGGCCGGCGCGACCGCAGCGGCTGCGACTACCTCCGCATGTTTGGGCCACACATGCACCGGCACTACGACCTGGTCTTCTATGGCGAGGCTGTTTTGTCTTTTTGAAGACGCCAACACACCACCCCATGGCGCCCCCAACCCCATGACACTAAGCCTCACAGGCCATGAACCTCCCCCGACAAGGTCTTCAACACTTGGTGGGACCTTAGGATAAATGCATACATATACAGATATACACGCATATTATATATATATATATGTATATATATATATATGTATATATATATATATATGTATCTATGATATGATATGATATGATATGCATATACAGGCATATATGTATATATATATACATATCTCCCTAGCTAGGTTTTACTTAAGAGGATCTTATTTAGGAATTGTTTTTTTTTTTGTTTTTTTCCAGCGGGTTGTTGGGGGCCTTCAACGTTGGCAAGTGCACAACATATCACTTGCAAATAGATCATTACAACAAGTCATTGTATAATCAAACACAGAAGTGAGTGAGTATTCTACATAAGACAAACATGCATGCGTACGAGCGTGCGGGCATGCGTAAAAAATGGACACATACACACAGACATATATATATATAGACACACACACATGCGCAAACATACACATACACATACACACACACACACTTACACATACACATACACATATACATATATACATATATTCATATATACATATATACATATATACATATATACATATATACATATATACATATATACATATATACATATATACATATATACATACATGCATATATACAAATATACAAATATACATATATACATATATACATATATACATATATACACATACATATACAAATACATGTACAGTCTCACATATACATATACATATACATATACACACTCGACTCTCACTAGACACACGTGCGTGCTTCGCGCGCACTTAGTGTCGGCGCATGGGCGCCGGGGCAACTTTGGCCTGAAGCCCGGGATGCTGGAGTGTATACATATATATATATATGTGTATACATGTATATATGTCTATATGTATATATACACACATATATATATATATATGTGTATACATGTATATATGTCTATATGTATATATATATATACACATATATATATATATATATATATGTGTGTGTATATATTTGTATATATGTGCAAATGTGCTTATGCATGTATATATATACAGATAATCTGCATGTCTTTGTATGTGTATTTGTGATGACATACCCGGAGACTCCAATACCCCTTGATTAAAGAATTTTCCTGAAAGCATACTAGGGATCCTTAAATAGGGGTACTGGAGTCTTTCCCTAGACCCTAAACCCTAACCCATAAACCCTAAACCTTACACCCTACAACTTACACCCCAGACCCCAGACCCCAAACCCTAAACCCTAAAACCCTAGACCCTAAACCCTAAAACCCTAAACCCGAAACCCTAAACCCTAAACCCTGCAGTGTCAGGCCTGGGCCTTGGAAGTAGTGGACTCAGTGAGGGCGAAGCTCAACCTCCGGCACCGAACCCGGCTGCGGCTTCTGGAGGTGCCCGGGGAGGCCGAGGGTTTAGGGTTTAGGGTTTAGGGTTTAGGGTTTAGGGTTTAGGGTTTAGGGTTTAGGGTTTGGGGTTTGGGGTTTGGGGTTTAGGGTTTAGGGCAAGTTTAGGGTTCAGGGTTCAGGGTTTAGGGTTTAGGGCAATTGCGGCCCAACAAACTCTGGAACCCACAGACCCAGACCCAGCCTTCCCCCAACACCCTGAAGCCACAAGCCCTAAGCCCCCGAAGCCCTAACAGCCCTAAAAACCCTAAACCCTAAACCCTAAACCCTAAACCCTAAACCCTAAACCCTAAACCCCTTTTTGGCTTCCCCCAGGACGCCTCGGAGGACGTCTACGCCCGCTGCTCGCAGCCTTGGTTTCTTTTGTTTTTGGGGGGTTAGGAGTTTAGGGGTTAGGGTTTAGGTAAACCCTTAATTCTAGACTCTGAAACCCTAAACCCTCAATCCTAGACGCTACAATGTACTCTAGAACCCGAAATACCCAAAGCCGTCAAGCCCTAAACCCCCCCTTCACAACCCCCCGTTTTAAACCCCTTCACAACCCTAAGCCTTAAACCCCAAACCCTAAACCCCAAACCCTAAACCCGAAACCCTAAACCCTAAACCCCAAACCCTAAACCCTAAACCCCCATGGAGTCGGTTCACGGGGGGCATCCGAGGCTGGGGCCGGCCGGCGAGCCTGGCCTTCCACCACCTCCGGGAGGAGATGCAGCTCCTTTGGGCGGGTTTAGGGTTTAGGGTTTAGGGTTTAGGGTTTAGGGTTTAGGGTTTAGGGTGTGATGGGTTTAGGGAGGAATCTAGGGAATTTAGGAGTGTTGGGCTTAGGGCTGGGGGTTTAGGGCCTGGTTTAGGGTTTTGCGCTCTGGCGGGTTTTGGGGTTTACGGGGGTTAGGGATCCTTCTTGACATCGGCTTACGCAGCCAAGGCTGATTGCGGACCGGAAGTACTTCCGGTACCTTCTCAACCAGTTTCAGTCAGGCATGGGCGGCAAGATGATGGCCAACTATGCTTGGGCCACTAACGAAAAGGTGAACTTTGTTGTGCAGGCAGCTCGCGAGAACTACTTCCAGAACTCTTCTGACAATTTCAACGCAGGGCAGAGCTACTTCGTGTGGCTTGACGTTGGCGCTGGTCACGGCTTCGTCAAGGTTCATCAGATCGTAAGCGGGACACAGGGAACGCTCGGACAAGAAGTAGTGGCCAAATGAAAAGCCTTCATATCCCAAAACCCCAAACCCTAAACCCAAAAAACTACCCTCGGGATCCTCTGAAAGGTTCCTGAGCACTTTTGCGCCTGCAACGTGGCGGTGCCAGGGACGGTGACGTTGTTCCACCAGCTGCGCACCACAGAGGAGCTTCTTAGCAGAACAAGACCGTAAACCCCCTGAAACCCTAAACCTCGAAATCCCTCAACCCCTAAACCCTAAAAACCCTAAACCTCTAAGCCCCTCAACCCGTATAGCCAGAAGCCCTCAAGCCCTAAACCTCTGAGCCCCTCAACCCGTAAACACCTAAACCCTAAAACCCTAACCCCTCAACCTCCATAAACTCTACAAGCCCCTCCACCCTATATCTGCGGGTAGTTACATGGGCCCTAAGCATGGTCCCTTACCTCCTTGAAAAGGTTCCGAAGTAGTTGTATAGGGTATATACGGGGTATATAGCTACCCTAACCCTAAACCCTAAACCCTAAACCCTAAACCCTAAACCCTAAAACCCTAAAACCCTGAGCCCTAAAACCCTCAAACCGAAACTCTATACACCCTAAGGCTATGGACCCTCTAAACCCCCTCTAGCCGCGCCTAAACCCCGACGCCCCTAAGCCCTCTGAGCCTTTAGGAGTCGAGCAAGTGACCATTTTGGTCTAGGGTTTGGGGTTTAGGGTTTGGGGTTTAGGGTTTAGGGTTTAGGGTTTGGGGTTTAGGGTTTAGGGTTTCGGGGTTAGGGCAGTTTAGGGGCTTATGTTTTTGTTTTCTTGGGTTGTCTACGGGCACATGCTTGTAGACCATTTTGGTCTGGGGCTTTGAGCTTCTGGGTTTATGGGTTTGGGGTAGTAGAAAATCGAGCATTATCGAGCAATTATGGGTTTGGGGGTAGTAGAAAATCAGAGCCCTAAAGCCTGAAGAACCCCTGTGGAATGCTGACAAGAGCCCTTTGGGGCTTTAGGGTTTACGGTTTAGGGTTCAGGGTAGGGGTCGATCGTCCCCAGCGTAGAACTATCGAACGTGGGGGCTTTTCGTATTTATAGATTCCCAGGGACTACCCTCCCCGGACCCTAAACCCTAAACCCTAAGCCCCAAGCACCATAAACCCCCGGAACCAAGCATCCCGAACCCCGAACCCCAAACCCTAAACCCTAAACCCCAAACGCCCTAAACCTCAAACCCGAAACCCTAAACCCCAAACCCTAGACCCTAACCCCTAAACCCCAAATCCCAAACCCCAAACCCCGCAGCCCCAGGCCCCAAGCCCCAAGCCCGAAACCCTAAACCCCAAATCCTAAACCCCAAACCCGAATTAATCCCTATACTCTAAACCCTAAAGCCCAAACTCTAAACCCCAAACCCTAAACCCTAAACCCCAAACCACCAGCCTGGACAATCAAGGCTCTTCGAGGGCACTGTGCCTCAAAGTGGAGGCCCGCTCAGGTTCCGGCCCCTCCCGCTGGGCGAGGTGACGATGCTGGGCTCTTTCTAGGCGCTAGGGGCCCACAGCCTCTCTTGGGTTTAGGGTTTAGGGTTTAGGGTGATAGGGCGTAGATGCTGTGAAGGTTAGGTTTTGGAACAACCTCGAAAGCTTCGTGAGGCGCGAAGAGCAGCTTTGGCCCGTTGTGGAAGGCCATCTAACTTTTTTCTCCCACCCCACGCCGTCCGAGGCGGCAAAGCCACCCAAACCTATTCCGCCTATTCCTTTTAGGGTTTAGGCCTAAACTCAAGCCAACTGCTTACTTTCCATAAGACTTCTTCATGCCGTCACGGTGGTCGCCAGCCTGGTTCAGGTTCACAAAAAAAGCGGCGTCCTGGCCAGGAGCCCAAAAGACCCCAAAAGGCCCAGGGCCAGGCCCAGGGGGCAGGAAGGCCCAGAGGCCTGGCATAACCCTCCCCCCCCCCCCCCCCCCCCGAAAAGGTCAGCCATCCAGGGTCACGACCTGAAAGTTTAGGGTATTTACTTTATTATAAGGGGCCAGTACTGGTCCCGAGAAGAACGTGTTCCGGTACCATCATGGGCGCGACCGACCCCCATGCTTTGGGAGGCGGGCAATCGACCTGGGTCGGTTTCCTCTATCGAGGTCGAAGGGCTTAAGCGCCTCCCCCCAACGTAGGGGGCGGCCCAGGCCCTGAGGTTAGGGTTTAGGGTTTAGGGTTTAGAGTTTAGGGTTTAAGTTAAGGTTCAGGGTTCCTAACCAGCTACAGACATGGCAATATGTGGTACCTAGAGGTTTAGGACTTAGTGGGAATTTTAATGAGTGTAAGGTCTTTTTGAGGAGACTGAATGCTTCTCAGTTTAGGGTTTAGGGTTTAGGGTTTAGGGTTTAGGGTTTAGGGTTTAGGGTGCAGCAGCTGAGGATGAGCAACTATCTGTCAACTCATGATCTTACGCACCATTTCGAAGAGATCATGGGCACTTTTTGGGGTGGAGACCTGGCCGGTATCGAAACTCGGTAGCCCAGTGGCGCCCTTCACCCTCTTTTTTTTTTGGGGGTGGGGGGGGGGGTGGGGAGGGTGGGGGGCGGTCAAGGTTCCCTTATAAAGAAGCCAACCCTTTTTCCTCAAAAAAGGGTTTCGGGTTTCGGGTTTAGCGGTAGGGGTTCAAGGTTCCCTTGTAAAGTAACCAGCCCAAACAAGGGTACAGGGTTTAGGGTTTAGCGTTACCGGCTAGGGTTTAAGGCTACTGGGCTACTAAGGAAATGCTCTGGGAAAGCTGGAACGCCACTGTCCATCAGCTGTTCGCCCACGGTGCGATTGATCATGACCAAGGGTCACTTTGTCTGGTTGCATCTTGGTGGCTGAGAGTGGTACCTTTCTGTTAATTCCAGGTTCCCTTGTTAAAGTAGCCAACGCCAAAAGAGGTTACCCTAAACCCTAAACCCTAAACCCTAAACCCTAAACCCTAAACCCTAAACCCTAAACCCTAAACCCTAAACCCTAAACCCTAAACCCTAAACCCTAAACCCTAAAACCTAAACCCTAAACCCTAAACCCTAAACCCTAAACCCTAAACCCTAAACCCTAAACCCTAAACCCTAAACCCTAAACCCTAAACCCTAACCCTACACCCTAAACCCTAAACCCTAAACCCTAAACCCTAAACCCTAAACCCTAAACCCTAAACCCTAAACCCTAAACCCTAAACCCTAAACCCTAAACCCTAAACCCTAAACCCTTACCCTAAACCCTAAACCCTGAACCGTGAACCCTGAACCCTGAACCCTAAACCCTAAACCCTAAACCCTAGCTCTTATAATCATATGGCTACTGGGCTCCCAAGGCTTCCTCTCAGCCCAAATGGCTGCGCTACATTGCCAGCAACTTCTTTGGAGTCCTCCATCTGTGCTGATGTGAGGTTTAGGGTTTAGGGTTTAGGGTTTAGGGTTTAGGGTTTAGGGTTTAGGGTTTAGGGTTTAGGGTTTAGGGTTTAGGGTTTAGGGTGCAGTAGGGTTTGCATACAGGCCTCTCCTAGGGAAATCGGCAAGGGTACGTGAATTGGGTGTCTTTTAGGGGGTGCAAGCCATGAGAGACCATAAACCCTAACCCTAAACCCTAAACCCGAAACCCAAAACCCGAAACCCTAAACCCTAAACCGTACCCCCCAAACCTTACTTCATTTGCCCGAGATGGGACCAATGGGGCGCTTTGGCGAGCGTCGTCTCGTAGCGTCCGGCTGGCAGCCCCACCCCTCCCCCCCCCCCAAGCCCGCGCAGAAGGCTCGGGAGCCCAAGGCCCCTTAATTAAAAAAAAAGTCGGCCTTTGAACTCATAAGACGGATTCTGGCAGAATTTATATAGGGTTCTCTTCCCTAAACCCTAACCCATCACTTTGGGCCCTCGAGCTGGCCAGCTTCTACGCAGCCCGAGCGAGCGAAGCACTCCAAAAGACAAGAACCTGGGCCTCGCGTGAGGGCTTAGGGTCTGAAACCCTGAACCCTGAACCCTAAACCCTAAACCCTACACCCTAAACCCTAAACCCTAAACCCTAAACCCGAAGGGTTTTGGGACTGGGGGCTTTGGCGGGTGGTGGTTTCGGGTGAAGGGTCTTGAGGAAAAGGGGGCTCGTAAATATACGCTAAGGAGGGTGTTTTTGTGGGGGAGATTCCCGGAGACTCTAAGACCTCCGAGTTAAGGAGTATTCCGTAAACCAAACTCGGATCCCGCTTATGATTCAGGGAATATTCCCTCATTACCTAGGCCCGTGATGCTTGAAATTACCTTCTAGGGGTTGTTTTTTGGGATCAATTTGGTAGTTCTGAAACAAGTCCTAGTCTTTTCAGGGGTATTGGAGTCTCCTGGATACTGCGGGGCGTGGATTAGGGTTGGATTTCGTCCGGAGAACGCTCGTCTAGACCTTCACGAGAACCCATCTAAACCCTATTCAGAAAGCCTATAGAACTTGCGTGAGCAGGATGTTGGGGCAGTGAATTTCCAGCCTGCAAAATCAACTTCTGCTGAGCCATTGGCCTCAAATCGATCTCAAGATCACAGAACAACCGAGACAAGCAGTTTCCTCAACGAGTCCATCAGCGGCTAAACCCTGCATTGCTGAGCAGTATGGCCTTAAGGCACGTGTAGGAGTAAGACGGAAGTAGAACACAACCACTAGCTGAGCACCACATTTTAGGGTTTTCGGGTTTAGGGTTTAGGGTTTTAGGGTTTAGGGTTTAGGGTTTAGGGTGTAGGGTTTAGGGTTTAGGGGATTTAGGGTTTAGGGTTTAGGGTTGTCAGCCGCTCGATTGCCGATGCGCTGCAGCTCCTTGAGATGTGTGTGCTTTCTGGGCGTTGGGTCACTTAGTAGCTGAGTGAGTACACTTTACCTTTTTGGGATACAAAATAATCCCCTATAGAACTGAAAGTGTACACCTCTTTTGCGGCTTATGAACTCAGCAGCTAAGGTCGCTGTGGGCGCTGAACAGGCAAATCATCGCCCTTCGCGGCAGCCCACCCTACTCGGCAGTTGTGTTGGGTCCAACGGATGTGGCGTTCTTTCATCAGACGAATGCCCTGAGCGGCCGGACCAACTTCTCGATCAGGAGTGTGCGGGAGCACCTGCCGCAAGCCCCGTACTACCTGCTCAGCGACGGCGGGCCAGATTTTGCAGGGGCGGCCGCGGACTTTAACATCTCCACCTTTCGTGGTGATGGCTTGCATCTGTCGAAGTATTTTAACCCCAACTTCACATGCCAAGCACACCTGCAGAGAATCGCAGAGGCAGCTCGATGGGCCTCAGGGCAGGGAGCCACCTTCCTCATGATCTGGGAGGATGACACCCGGCTGCTGAGGCCATTGCGGGCGATTCCAGATGTGGATCTCAACACCATGGGCAACGTGGCCAACGAGCACATAGGATTTTGGAACGGTGACGTTCGAGAGCGGTTTATGAAAGCTCCCTCAAGCCAACTGGCGCCAGTCGATGAGAGACGCGTCAAGCAACACGAGAGGTATGCGGCTCGCAGGGGGTAGCCCGGTTGGTTTTGGGGACATTTTTCTATTTTGCTTGTTTGGTTTTTTATAAGGGACCCGGTTTTTTGCAAAGGGTTTAAAGGCCAACCCAGGTATTCTGCTGGGCCTGGCAGCATCTGGAGGATCAGCTCCTTCTTGAAGGCACTTGACGCCACGCCTGCAGCAGACTTGAGGGACATGTATACCGAGCAGGACATGTGCTGGGAGGAGCTTGCAATTACCAACGGCATGCAGATACGGCGGAACCCTGAAGTGCAGCAAATCACGTGGCCCTACAGCGACGGAGAGTTCCGGGGTCAGACGTCGGATCCTGGTAGGAATCTCCGGTGCTTGGAGTGCCTGGACGGCTGCAAAGTGTCCTGTGGTTGCACTGAGCCCCTGAGTTGGAAGCAGAGCGCCTGGTACCAGCTGGAGGCTTGGTAGCCCAGTGGTACCATTTTCTTTGTTTTTGGTTCAAGGTTCATGTATAAAGTAACCAACCCCCAAAAGGGTGCCCTTATTGTAATATGGTTACTGGGCTACTAAGGAGGCTTTTGGGAGCCTTTTGGTTGGAGTGCCCTTCAGCTATCGCTCAGACGTCCTCTGGGGCCGGCTTTGCAAGCCTTGCCCGGACAGTTGTTGGGCACCTTGCTTTTCGGCTTGTATGTCCTCATGCCCAGCGGTAGTGCATCCTCACAAGCGGCCCGTCCTGGATTGCGAACCCCAAAAAAGCAGGGGGTGGTTGAGGGTGATCCTGCTGCATCTACCAACAAGCGCCCACAGACCTCAGTAGTATAGTGGTCGGAAGAATTACTTATCGTCACTGATGGTCTCTTTGTAATTGTAAACGCTTGCGCGCGCAGCCGGGCCGGCCCAAGGACAGGAAAGGAGGAAAGAGGGTTTCGCAAAGAAAGGGGAGGAGGGGCAGCGGGGTTAAAGGGGGTGGGGGGGAGGGGGGGGGGGGGGGGGGGGGGGGGAGTGCGGGGAGGGCCCTCGGCATCGGTGCAGCTCCTCCAAGCACAGGGCGGGGGGGGAGGGGGGGGGGGGGGGGGGGGGGGTGGCGTCAAATTTTGCATTAGCCGCTTCTCGGCAGGAAGCCGAGGCGAATTATACTGCCTGGCGAGTGCAATGGATGAAGAGGTTCCTAGACCCTAAACCCCAAACCCTAAACCGTAAACCCCAAACCCTAAACCCAAAAACAATTCCCACACCCTAAACCCCAAACCCTAAAACCCGAACCCTCAGCCCTAAACCCCAAACCCTAAACCCTAAACCCTAAACCCCCAACCCTAAACCCTAAACCCCAAACCCCGAACCCTCAGCCTGCTCTCTCATGCCTTCGAATCGCAAGCAGACTGCGCTGGTATGTAGCGGTGAGCAAGTTGGGGCAAGTTGTGGCTTCCGGGAGGCTGTTGTTCTGTGAGAACCCTAAGCTTGGATTTAGGGTTTAGGGTTTAGGGTTTAGGGTTTCGGGTTTAGGGTTTAGGGTTTAGGGTTTAGGGTTTAGGGTTTAGGGTTTAGGGTTCAGGGTTTAGGGTTTAGGGTTTAGGGTTTAGGGTTTAGGGTTTAGGGTTTAAACCCTCCTAAGCCCCGTACCCTAAACCGCTTGAAACCCGAAGCCCTAAGCACTATCCAGGCTCGCAAGCGCCTCGGTCGACGCGGTGGTCTGGGCCTCAGCAGGTGGAGATTCCCAAAGTCTTCAAGGGGTTTCGGGTTTAGGGTTAAGGGCTTAGGGTTGAGGGTTTAGGGTTAGGGGACCCCGGATATAGACCCCCAGTAGTAGGATTCCCTTATAAGAAGGACCCCAGTAAGGTACCCCTAGTCTCGTAAACCCCCATGTCCGAACGACCATTCCTGAATCAAGGCGTTTCGGGCTCCCTGGGTATTCCTTTTGCAAGGTACCCAAGCAACCCAGAAAAGTAAGCCCCCCGCATCCCGGGTTCAAGCGCCATCTCTGAACCCTGAACCCCCAAACCCGAAACCCTAAACCCTAAACCCTAAACCCCAAACTCGAAAGCTGTTTGGGACGATCTGGGTTTGTGTGAGGGTTGTCCGAAGGTAGGGGTACCCTATTGGGGTCCTTATGGAATCCTATACAATTTGGGGGGCCTATTGCAGGCTTCCTTCGTTTCGTAACCTCCCGTGTGTATCCATGGAGGTCATTCATACCGCTCGACTTCTTCGTTAGAATTAGTGTAATATAGGGGTCGAATAAATACTAATAGTATTCCTTTCTGGTCCCCATCGTTTCGAAACGCCGAGTCACACTCATAAGCTGCAAAAAAGCAGAGCAAATCGACTTCAACTGATGTAATTAAGAGTAAGAGCTGTTAAATACAGACAGCACGCAGCTACACTAAGGATATCAAATTCGGGCTTCGTCGCTAGTTAGAGCTGCGGGAGGCTTGAGATCAAAGGGCGCGGCTCGCAACCTTTTCTCCGCGTAGGGCACGGCTAGTCCGTTTGTTGCGCCCTAAACCCTAAACTCTAAACCCTAAACCCTAAACCGAAGATTTAAACCCTAAAAACCCTAAACCCTAAACCCTAAAACCTAAAACCCTAGCCCTTTCGGGCGAGGGACGGCATGTGCGAGTTTGAGGTTTGCGACCTCCCCTTCGGGAAGCAGCGCTTCGGCTGCATGTATCGACTTCAGACACTACACACCTTGGTGCATAAAAGGGCTCCTTTTTGAAGGTTTTAGGGTTCAGAGTTTAGGGTTTAGGGTTTAGGGATTAGGTTTTAGGGTTTAGGGTTTAGGGTTTAGCCAGGACCCAGAGTACGCACTTATTTACTCCCTGTTTTTTAGGGCTTGAATTCCCTTTCTAAATCCCTTGAAACCCAAATCGGTACCCATTCTGTTCCTAAGGCTGCTCGGGTGTCTATTTTAGTTGATTTTAACCAAAACCCTAAACCCATCCCTAATCCCCATTTCTTCCTGAAGAAGTCGCGGGCCCGCTGAACTTGAGCATGGGCTAAACCTTAAACCTTAAACCCTAAACCCTTAAACCTTAAACCCTGAACCCTAAACCCGTGTCTTGGGAGGTACGGGTCAGAAGCAGGCCGGAACCCGAGTTACGAAAGAGTGGGGCTTAGGGTTTTAGGGTTTAGGGTCTAGCACCTAGGGTTCAGGGTTTTAGGGTTTCGGGCTTCGGGTTTCGGGGGATATAGGGGGTTTAGGGTTTCGGGTTTAGGGTTTAGGGTTTCGGGTTTAGGGTTTAGGGTTTAGGGTTTGGGGAGACCCAGGTCAAGTTCTGAACAACGTATAGGCCCCGAAGCTCCTCGCTGAGCACGCCTGAACCCAATGCGCTACGCGAGGCTTGAGAGGGCTCCGGGTCAAAGCACCCTAAGCCCTAGACCCCAAACCCTAAGCCCTAAACCCCAAACCCTAAACCCTAAACCCTGAAATTCTGAGCCCTCTGGCGCACGGACCTTACCGAGACAATGTGGAGCTCTACCCCGCGGCGCTGGCGGAGTTTTGTCGGGCTGGGGACCTCAGCTTTAGGGTTTAGGGTTTAGGGTTTAGGGTTTAGGGTTCAGGGTTTAGGGTTTAGGGTTACAGAGGTGATCCGGGCTTGTTTAGGGTTTCAGGGTTTCAGGGTTTCAGGGTTTCAGGGTTTCAGGTTTATAGGGGTTTCAGGGTTTCAGGGTTGCAGGGTTTCAGGTTTATAGGGGTTCGCTGCAATGCGCTCGGGCATTTACTTTGGCGCTCCTGGGAGGGGTTTTAGAAGCCTTTGGCTTCTGAGGGGCGGGGGCCGTTTCGGATCTTTCTGCAAAGCTCGGTTTTTGTGTGAGGGTGGGGGAGGGGGGAGGACGGCACCACGGATGATAAAACTGCAAAAGGCTGCCTGAATCTTTCGGAGGTTTAGGAAGCGTGAATAGGATAGATCTTGGGGTTGCTTGGAAGCCAAGAGCTTGATTTGAGCCTCGGGAAACCCTCCGAGAGTCTATAGACGCTGAAATTGGTGATTTTCGGGGCCGAGTCTCACCCCCCACACCCATGCCGCCCCCGCCCTTCCCCCCCCACCCATTGCCACCCCATCCCAACCCTACTTGAAGGTTCATGGTACTTGCTAACCAATGATAACTGTACTTATAACTGTACTCATAAGCCCCTTAAGTGCCCTAATATGGTTATAAGTACAGTTAGAAGTACAGTTATAATTGGTTAGTAAGTACCTTGAACCTCCAAGTACTGGACCCCTGAACCCCAAACCCTCAACCCTCAACCATCAGGTTCTGCGGCCGGGCACTGGCCGGGCGGTGCTGCTCACGAACCAGGCTGGTTGTTGAGGGCCGTTTTTGGGGAATTAGGGTGTATACGGCCTAGGGATGAAGGGTGGCGGGGTTTGGGGGTTTAGGCGTTGGGGGTGCTGGATTTGTTTAGGGATCAAAGGGTTTTAGAAACAGGTTTGGGATTCAGGGCTGTAGCCAGGTCCCTAAACCCTAAACCCTAAACCCTAAACCCTAAACCCTAAACCCTAAACCCTAAACCCTAGAGGTTCATGGGTCGTTATATGTAAGGCTGTAAGCTATAAGCATGGCAAATGCACGCATGCGTTTAGGTGATCCTGAGCCCTGAGCCCAGAACCCTGAACCCTGAACCCTGAACCCTGAACCCTAAACCCTAAACCCTAATCGGTGTGTCTTCCTATCAGCCAGCAGGCCAATGCTGTGCGCCTTGCCGAGGCTCCCGAATGGAAGCTTTGCGTCGTAGGGTTTCGGGTTTAGGGTTTAGGGTTTAGGGTTCAGGCTTTAGGGTTTAGGGTTTGGGGTTTGGGGTTTTGGGGCTTTGTGTATGAGCGACTTATGTGTCAATCAGCATTGAGCCTGCAACGTTCTATAAGAAGCTCCCAAATCATACTCAGATGTCTTAGCGTCCCCCACCCTTCTCCCGACGCCCAAGCGCAAAGACCCCTTAGAAGGAACTTTCCTGAAGATATAAGATCTCGAGGGTTCCTTATATGGTTTAAGGTGTACGTATTCCTGAATTAAGGGTATTGGAGTCTTTTGGGCTTGCCATCGCAAAACCACAAGCGCCAAACCTAGCGATGTTCTGCTTGTCTTGCTGGGGATCGCAATGGCGAAACCTTGTGAGTCCAACGGGGTTCGTGTTTGGGGTTTAGGGGGAAGTTTAGGGGTGTAGGGCTGTAGGGGTCCGTAGGGCAGAAGCTTTCGAATCCTGCTTGCTTCAGCCGAAAACCTCCTGCAATTTTGGTTCAATGTGAAGTCCGCAGGAGAATCAACGCCTGCGTAATTGCATCGGAACATTCAAACTGACTTTGCTGTAGCCGTGAGACCTCAGCCCGATACTAAGAGCCCAAATTCAAGAAGAAGCCTTAAACTATGTCGACTATAGATGATCCTTGGTATGATGTAAGGTATCTTCCTTATTTGCTTTAGCTCTTTGGGTACATTCTACGCCCACAAATCGCCTCAGCGTGGAGGGTTCGGGGTCAGCCACCACCCCCCAATCTACTGCAAAGCCTTTAGACACCACACCCCCCCACTCAAAGCTTTCTTGCCCAGGAAACCCAGCGACCCTTAATTGAGGATCCGTATACCTTCCATCATGAGAAGGAACCCTAAACCCGAAACCCTAAAACCTAAACCCTAAACCCGAAGGATCCCCCCTCCGCGACGTTCCACGGAGGCCTTTGCTGATGGCCCCTGGCAGGTGCTCTGCCGTCGCAAGGTCCTGCTGGGCCACATGGAGGCTCTGTCTTACCCTATAAGCAGTCAAGGCGCCCCAAATCCCTGAGCCCTAAGCAAACCGTAAGAGACCCTACATAACCCTATGCAATGGCACCCTTAACCTAACGACCCCCCCCCCCCCAAAAAAAAAAAAAACTCTCTAAACAACATTAAAGACCCTAGGGTACCCCATGTAACGGCACCCTTAACACCAGGACCGCCCCCCCCCCCCCCCAAAAAAAAAACGAACAAATAAGTAAATAAATATAAATAAATAAATATTAAAAATAAATAAATCCTATTTTAGAGAATTTCGGCCCAGAGCCCCGAAACAACGGGTATTATGGACCTTTCTTACGTTAGGGGTTTAAGTAGGGCTTGGAGGATCCTTCCAAAGAGCCCCAAACCCCTTCATGAAGGAATAAAGACCATACATCATGAACAGATTTGGGTTTGCTGTGTTGAGGGTTTAAGGTTCGGGGTTTGGGTTTTACGGTTTAGGGTTTCGGGTTTATGATTAAGAGCCTATTTCTTAATTAAGGGGTATTTGGCCCCCTGGGCATCCATGCACATCTACTATTTGCTTAAGAACCCCCAAAAAAACAATGGATGAACAAATCCCTATATTACCCTTATAAGGAACATGGTTTTGTTTCTTGGGCGGGGGGTACTTAAGCAATTGGCAGTAAACCCTAAACCCTAAACCCCAAACCCTCAACCCTAAACCCTCAACCCTAAACCCTAAACCCTAAACCCTACACCTCAAACCCTAAACCCTAAACCCCAAACCCCAAACCCTAAACCCGTTTTTGAACCTGGACCAGGCAGTTCTGTTCCTCGCGACGCGGGTCGATAAAGCAGGCCTGGCAGCTTGCCTCCGCCGGCTGTCAGTGAGCTCGAGTTGTGCAGGGTTTAGGGTTTAGGGTTTAGGGTTTAAGGTTTAGGGTTTAGGGTTTAGGTTTTAGGTTTTAGGGTTTGAGGGTTTAGGGTTTAGGGTTCAGGGTTTTAGGGGTTGAGGGGTTGAGGGGTTGAGGGGTTTAGGGGTTTAGGGGTTGAGGGTTTAGGGTTTAGGGGTTTAGGGGTTTAGGGGTCTAGGGGTTTAGGGGTTTAGGGTTTAGGTGTTTAGGGGTTTAGGGGTTTAGGGTTTTAGGGGTTAGGGGTTTATTGTTTAGGGGTTTGGGGGTTGAGGGGTTGAGGGATTTAGGGGTTTAGGTGTTCAGGGGTTGAGGGTTTAGGGTTTAGGGGTTTAGGGGTTTAGGGGTTTAGGGGTTTAGGGGTTTAGGGGTTTAGGGGTTTAGGGTTTAGGGTTTAGGTGTTTAGGTGTTTAGGGGTTTAGGGGTTGAGGGGTTGAGGGGTTGAGGGTTTAGGGTTTAGGGTTTAGGGTTTACGTTTAGGGTTTGAGTGTAGAGCAGTTCTGATGCACACCATGGGGACCCTCGACCCTAAACACCAAACCCTATACCCTATAAACCTTAGCCGCAAACTCTAATCCCCAAACCCGAAAGCCCAACCTGCAAACCCTAAACCCTCAACCCTCAACCCTCAACCCTCAACCCTCAACCCTCAACCCTCAACCCTCAACCCTAAACCCTAAACCCTAAACCCTAAACCCTAAACCCTAAACCCTAAACCCTAAACCCTAAACCCTTAACCCATGCCATGGAGTCCCCGAGCCTAATCGGTGGCTTGGCGGTCCTACCAGGCTCGGGTGCCGAGAAGCTCGATGCCAAGGCCCGTGCGGTGTGACGGTTCGTAGGTTTAGGGTTTAGGGCTTGGTTTTTTTTTTTGGGGGGGGGGTTAGGGGTTTAGGTTAGATTTTGGGGTTTGTGGTTTTGGGCGTGATGGCTCGGGGTTTAGGGTCTGGTCTACTTTTTAGGGTTGAGGGATGTTGAGGGTTTTTTGGTTTTAGGCTTCGGGTTTTAGGGCTTTAGGGTTTCGGGATGTGGCTTGACGGCTTGTCAAAGGGTTTCGCAAGGGCTTCTTTTTGTTTTGGGGCTTTGTGTGTTGTGGTCTACGGTTTCCTTAAGAGTTGTCTTAGGGACTTGGAGGCGCGACTCGCAATGCAAACAACAGAACAGCGAAGTGCTCCCTAAGCCCTACGCCCTAAAACCCTAAAGCCCTAAAAACCCTCAAGCCCTGGGCCGTACACAACCTGAGACCCTAAAACCCTAAAGCCTCAAAACCCTGAAAGCCCAACCCAAAAGCGCTCAAAAAGTCCACCCTCTCCATCAGGACTCCATGCGCCTGCCTTGGGAAGACAAGAACGGCCGACGAACGCGGCCTGCCAAGTGTTTAGGGTTTAGGGTCTAGGGTTTTCGGTTTAGGGTTCTTGGTTTAGGGTTCACTGTATAAAACCCAAGGGTAGTTTGGGTGTGGGGTCAGGGTTTAGGGTTTCGAGGGTTCCAATGCTTATCAAACCCTAAACCCTAAACCCTAACCCCGTGAATTCTGATACTTAGGGGTTTTCGTAGGGGTTTAGGTAGGTTTTCAGATCAGATCAGGGTTTGGAGTAAAGGGATCTGGGAGAGGCCAAGCCGCTGAAGCCTCCTCAGCCACCTCAAAGCTGCGCAAGTGCTGGCTCTGGCCTCGCAGCTGCGCGCCATGCAGGCTCAGGCAGGCGCCAGCTCGCGAACGGGAGGCCGAAGCCCTCCGTGTGGCGTCGGCAGCGCACTCGATGTCGCTCCAGGCACTGGTTCGGTCCCGGCGAGAGCGCGTTGCCAAGTTCAAGGGCGCCGCCGCGCGCAAATTCTCTACGAAAGCCATGCCGGGTGTTGTGCCACCCACGCCTACGCCAACCCCCTAAGGCCACCAAAGCCCCCTAAACCCCCGAAGCCCCCTGAGCCCCCTGAGCCCGCCTGAGCCCCCTAATCCCCTAAACCCCCCAAACCCGGTATGGTAGCCTTCCCACAAGTTTAAAAGAACCCTAACTCAAAAAAAACCCTAAACCCTACACACAAGTTTACCCTCATCCCCAAAGCCTAAACCCTAAACCCCCTAAACCCTAAACCCCCTAAACCCAAAAGCTCAAGTTTCGGAACGGCTCTGTGTATCAGGTGGTCTTCGATGAAGGCTCCCTGAACCCTAAACCCTAAACCCTAAACCCTAGACCCTAGATCCTAGACCCTAGAAGACCCTAGACCCTAGACCCTAGACCCTAAACCCTACACCCTAAACCCTAAACCCTAAACCCTAAACCTAACGGCCCTGTGAGGTGGTCTTCGATGAAGGCCCTTCTCCGCCAACCCATGCGAACAGTCGCCGGCGGGAAGAAGAGCCGACGATAGCCTCGGGCTCAGGGGCTTTGGGGGGTTTAGGGGTTTAGGGCGTTTAGGGTTTTGGGGGGTTTGGGGGTTTAGGGGGTTTAGGGGTTTAGGGGTTCAGGGGTTTACGGGTCCCGGGTTGGCGTTTAGGGGTTTAGGGGGGTTTAGGGGTTCAGGGGTTTATGGGTTTCGGGGTTTAGGGGGGGTTTAGTGGTTTGGAGGTTTAGCGCTTGGGGTTAAGGCGGGTTTAGGAATTAGGGGTTTAGGGCCTACGGGGTGTTTAGGGTGTTTAGGACGTTTAGGGTGCTTGTGGTGCTTAGGGTGTTTAGAGTGTTTCGGGTGTTTAGGTTTAGGGTTTGGGGCCTGGGGTGGTAGCAGAGGCCTCCTTGAACCCGTGGTCCCAAACTGAAAAGAGCTCGTAGACGAGGTCAAGGTGCTCCGGCGAGTAGTCCAGCGATGTTGGGTTGCTCATGGTTCAGGTTATAAGGCCTAGGTTTCAGATTTTTGGGTTTAGGGTTTAGGGCTAGGGTTTAGGGTTTAGGGTTTAGGGTTTAGGGTCTAGGGTTGAGGGTTTAGGGTTTAGGGTTTAGGGTTTGCGTGGCACGGCTGCCTAGGTCCTCTACGTGATGGATCTGCCGGCAGGAACAACCCGCGGCCGAAGTCCAAGGTCGTATATGCGGACGAGTTGGGTCCCAGGCTTACTGCGCCATGCGTGAACATAGGTTTCGATTTGGGATGTTCCCCCTTATACCAACAAAAATTAACGGATTCTAGTACCCCCTATTGGAATCCCGATTAAGGACTGTTAGTATAGGGGGGGAACATCCCAAGGTTTCATTTTAGTTGGTATTGATAAGGGGCCGCGATCCATTTATGTATGCGGCCGCAAGAGTGCAACAACTCTACTTCTTGAAGGGCTTCCAGGGACGTTAGGCAATTTCGGGGGGTGTCCCGACAAGCGCTGCAGGCACGGGCCAACCTAAACCTAAACCCTAAACCCTAAACCCTAAACCCTAAACTTTCTGCAGCCATCTGGAGTCAAGCGAAGTCCCGTTGCGACGTACAGTTTCTTGGAGCTGCGCCAGCCATGCTTCTCACGTGTGCCTCAGCTTCGAAGGCAGAAACCCTAAACCCTAAACCCCAATAGTGCTGGTCTTTCTTACACTCGCTGACTGAAGGCCTTGCTGAGGGTGAAGCTTTTGTCTTGCGGGAGAGCGACGCGTAGAAGTGTTTGGTCTACATGCAGTTCCATGTCCAGATCTTGCCGTGGGTGAGATTGGTCTCATTATGGGCCCTTCGCGGCATTTTCAAGCAACAGCCAGAAACAGGAGCTCCCAGCGGGAGAAGCAAAGAAGACCCGAAGAACAATTGCAGCAATAGCAACAGTAACCATATTCGGAATACCAACTATTTTTCGGCGACATTCGTCAACCTCCCCCTCATGCGACTTCCCCGAACCCTTACATTAACCTTCAACCCTAGACCCTACCTACCACCCAAACCCTATAGACCCTGTAAAGCCTCAACTCAAAATACATCTATATAGACCCTATAGACCCTCACCCCTATCCCTATACATCCTATATACATCCTAAGTCCTATAGACTAAAGCGCTACCTGGGACTCGATTTACCTACAGTTCCATAGCAACTACCCTTAAGAAATAGGTATAACGCCATAAAACTGTAGGTAAAGAGGGTGCCAGGTAACCCCTAAACTTCATAAACCCTAAACCCTAAACCCCGAACCCTAAACCCCAAACCCTAAACCCCATTTACCCTAAACCTGAAACCCAGGTACAGAGACGAAGCCGGTGCAGTTTGTTTCTTCAATCTCGGACTCGCAGGCGCCCGATCTGTTCCTCTAAGGTAGGGTTTAGGGTTTAGGGTTTAGGGTTTAGGGTTTAGGGTTTAGGGTTTAGGGTTTAGGGTTTAGGGTTTAGGGTTTAGGGTTTAGGGTTCAGGGTTCAGGGTTCAAGGTTTAGGGTTCAGGGTTCAGGGTTCAGTCTCAAGGCAGCTACAAGGTCAAAATTGGAGCCCTGAACGGAACGCAAGAGCCCCACACTTCAGGTTTACGGTAGGTTTGATAGGTTTTCAAAATTGGCCGCGTGGGGCGTTAATTTCTTTGGTAGAAGGCGCTGCAAGATTTCCTCCAATAACACTAAAACCACCACCGGGCCCTTACTACCATTTGTTGAACCCTAAACGCTAGACCCTCAACCCTAAACCCTAAACCCTAAACCCTAAACCCTAAACCCTAAACCCTAAACCCTAAACCCTAAACCCGAAAGAGGCCTCCTCTTGGCGCCTTCCCCCAGTCACCGTCGGCCGCAGCGCGGTCGACCTCCAGGCAGCCGCTGGATCGGATCTTCGGCTTAGAGGGTTTAGGGTTTAGGGCTCGGGTTTAAGGTTTAGGGTTTGGGGTTCAGGATTTGGGGTTTAGGGTTTGGGGTTTAGGGTTTAGAGCTAGGGTTTAGGGTCTAGGGTTTAGGGTTTGGAGTTTAGGGTTTAGGGTTTCGGGTTTAGGGTGTGGGGTTTAGGGTTTGGGGCCTTAGGGTTTGAGGGTGTGGGGTTTGGAGTTTGGGGTTTAGGATTTAGGGTTTAGGGTTTGGGGTTTAGTGTGTTGGGTGTAGTGTGTGGGGCTTGGGGTTTGGGGTTGCCGGTTCAGGGGTTTAGGGTTTAGGAGTTTAGGGGTTTGGGGTTTAGGGTTTTGGTTTTTTTGGGTTTAGGGTTTGGGGTTTTGGGTTTGGGGTTTAGGGTTTGGGGTTCAGCTTGTTTCTGAGTTTTTGTGGGCCTTGTAGCAGTTTGTAAAATTGTCGGAGCTTCTAGGGCTCCAGTAGGGGGCATGTTGCTTCTGATTTTGGGCCCCTTTTCGGGAGTTTTGCAAAACGGTGATTATGGTTCTACACGCGTCCAAATCCTATATATAGATGTTCTTATGCGCAGAAAGACATCAAATTTCGAAGAAGTCATGAGCCGGCAGAACCCAAGATTGCAACATGATAGGAAACCAGTGCCAAATGCGTTTTTCGGGCGACGAAAAATGCATGTGGAATGCCCTAAAATGCATGTCGGGGAAATGTTGGTTGTAAAACACCAACCGACTTTTTTGTTTTGTGTTTGCTTGTTTTGATGCTGTAATGGAACAAGACAACCCAATAGACGTGGCTGTCCAAGCGCTGCCCGAATGCATTTTGCCAGGCTTAAAGAAGCACTTGGTCTTGCTTTCCACATTTGCAACGCCATGCACTCTTTGTGCACTTTTTAGAAGGCGAAAGCAGCTGAATGCATTAAAGCGCGGGCGAGAAATGCATTCGGACAGGGGCTTCTTCTGTACGCAGCCTCTGTCTTTACGACAAAAGATCAGCTTTTAACTCAAGTCGATTGTGGGTTGTGGAAGGAGCAAGCTGCGCGAATGCATTTTGCCCACTTAAAAATGCACCTGAGCATGTTCTTCCTGATTCTGGGTCTGTTTCGGTACTCCTGCAAGATGCCGAAGATTGTTCTAAACGCGTTTTTCAATTCCTATAGCTACTTTTATGCACAGAAAACACATCAGAAGATTCGAATACGTCATGAGCCAGCATAAACCAAGACTGAACATGATAGGAAACCAGTGCCAAATGCATTCTTCGGGCGACGAAAATGCATTTGGAATGCCCTAGAAATGCATGTCGGGTAGATGTTGGTCGTAAAACACCAACCTACTTTTTTATTTTGTTTTCGTTTGCTTTTCATGCTGTAATGGAGCAAAGATAATCCAATAGACATGGATGACCAGACGCTGCCGAATGCATTTTGCCAGGCCTGAAACACGCATTTGGTCTTGCTTTCCACATGTGCAACGCCGCGTGCTCTTTCTGCACTTTTTCAAAGCGAAAACAGCTGAATGCATTTGGGCACGGGTGAAAAATGCATTCGGACTTTGGTTTCTTCCGTACGGGGCCTCTGTCTTTGACACAAAAGTCAGTTATCAAGTGAGTTTTTTATTGTGGTTTTGGAAGGAGCAAGCTGCGCGAATGCATTTTGCCTTTGCAAAATGCAACTGGATATTGTTCATGTAGGGTTGATAAAGTTTCTAGGGCATGAATGGAGCTCATAGGGTGTATAGGGCTTATCGGGTCCAAAGGTAAGTTGGGAAGTTTGGGTTTGTGGGCTGAGGGCTTGTCGGGTTTATGTTGGGCTTGGCCGGGCTTGGCACTCTCCTCCCATATATGGGGTGGGGGGGGGTAAGGTTAGAGTCTGGGATTTAGGGCAAAAAAGGCATACAGGTAGGATTTAGGGCTTAGGGCTTAGGGATGTTTAGGGCTTATAGGGTTGAGGGTTCACGGTTCACCCTGAGAATGCGGGCGGGGTTTGGGCTTTGGGGTTCTAGGGTTTAGGGTTTAGGGTTCAGTGTCTAGGGCTTTCGGCCTACACACCCCGCACGCCCCACACACCACAACCGCCCAAAACACCCCAAACACTCTAAAACACCCTAAGCGCCCTAAGCACACTAAGCACCTGCGCGTTTAGGAAGGTTAGGGTTTACTGTTTAGGGTTACGGATGTATAGGGTTTTCAAACAGTCGGAGCACTTTTAGTAGTGGGACTTCCTTCAACGGACCCCAGGAAGGGCGACTAGTTTAGAGTTTGGGGTTTACAGGGTTGGGGTAGCTAGAGGTAGTGCCCTAACTAGGGTTATGCCTATGACCCAACTTATAACGAGCCAAATGAACCTCCAAGTAGGGTTCAGGGCAGCCCCTGACCCCAAACCCTGAAACCTGCACCCTAAACCCCAAACCCCCAAACCCCCAAACCCCTAAGCTCCTAAACCCTAACCCCTAAACCCTAAACCCTAAACCCTACACCCCAAGCCCTAAACCCAAAACCCTAAACCACAATCTCGCCCCAAAGGAGGAGGATGCAGTTCGTGACGGATGGCAAGCCTCGGAAGCGGTTCAGGATTTTTGGGGTTGCAAAATTTGTTTTGAAAGAACCCAATAGTTACCCTGAATTCAGGAACATACCGTAAATCATCCTCGCCTCGTTCATTGCGGAATGCCTTAAAATCATACCCTAAACCCCTAAGACCCCTATACACCCCCCCCCCCCCCCCAAACCCTAAACCCCCCAGCCAAGGGGCCCCCCTTAATTCATCAATATGCGTTAAATCATACCAAGGATCCCTAACTTGTAGCATAGGGTAATTTTTAAAGAGCATGCCTTAACTATTTCTTACTAAGGATCCTTAAATCTAGTTGGGTCTATTCCTTGTTTTGGGGCTCTTTAGACGTGAAGTCGGTGGCTTTTGGATGAAGGTGTGAGGCAGTACTTGGAGGTTTAGGGTTTAGGGTTTAGGGTTTAGGGTTTAGGGTTTAGGGTTTAGGGTTTAGGGTTTAGGGTTTAGGGTTTACTGTTTAGGGTTTAGGGTTTAGGGTTTAGGGTGGGTAGTTCTAAGCAGGATATATGTTGTGGCAACTCTACTTGTAACCAAATTGAGGGCACTGGAAACCCTCTGCTAGCTACCCCGGAACCTCCAAGTAGCAAACGTTCCTCGCATCCCTGAACCCTCAAACCCTCAACTAGCCCTAAGCCCTAAGCCCTAAACCCTAAACCCTAAACCCTAAACCCTAAACCCCAAACCCTAAACCCCAAACCCTAAACCCCAAACCCCAAACCCTAAACCCCACACCCTCGCAGGAGCGGATGCCTCCCTGGAAAAGCCTCTGGCTGCCTGGGTAGATTCGGAGCATGTTTTTTTTTGAACCAAGCCTTCCGCTGGCCTTTATGTAGGGTTTAGGGTTTAGGGTTTAGGGTTTAGGGTATAGGGTTTAGGGTTTAGGGTTTAGGGTTTAGGGTTTGGGGTTCAGGGTTCAGGGTTTAGGGTTTAGGGTTTAGGGTTTAGGGTATAAGCCCTGTAAACCTTGTAAACCCTGCGAAGCTTGCAAAACCTATAGACTCCACCCCAAAACACCAACACCTAAAGCCTAACCCCAAACCTCAATCCCAAAACCCCTAAACCCTAAACCCCAAAACCCCTGAACCCCCCACACCCCACACCCCCTGAACGCAAAATCGCCAAGCCCCAAAACCCCAATCCCCGCAAACACCAAAACTTCTAAGCCCTAAGCCCCAAGCCCCAAACCCCCAAAACCCAAAAGACCCAAAGCCCCCCACGTAAACCCCCCCAAACCCCCCATAACCCTCAAACCTGAAACCCTTGTAGACCCTAAACCCAAAGCCCTAGACCCCAAACCCGAAACCCTAGATCCCAAATCCCTAGATTCCCTCGATCCACCCCAGGCTCGTCAACTATCTGGTCTTCCTGCTGCCCGGACTGGTCGCGTGATCCCGAATCCCGCGCAAGTCCCTACGCACCCTACACCCGAGATCCCAGAGAATCCGTTGAGGGTTTAGGGTTGAGGTTTAGGGTTTAGGGTTTAGGATTTAGGGTTTAAGGTTTAGGCTTCCCAAAGCCTTAGACCTTGCAAAGAACCCATGCGCCAAATCTCATGTGGGCATATCCCAAGATAGGTTACCCCTTAAGACACCCCAACGTGCGATAGTATTTGGTATAGGCCCCAACCCTAAACCCTGAACGCCTAAACCCCCACACCCGAAGCCTGCCTATCCCTAACACCTACCCCCTAAACCTAAACCCTAAGCCCTAAACCCCAAACCTCGAAACCCTAAACCCCAAACCCTAAACCCCAAACCCTCAACCCCAAACCCTAAACCCTAAACCCTACTCCGAGGTTGGTCCTTAACGTGGAGATCGTGGTGCCCACGGCCGACCAGTACGCGCAAGCCCCCGGAGCCCGAAAGTTGTTGGGGTTTGAAGAGTTTAGGGGTTTAGGTTTTAGGGGTTTAGGGTTCAGGGTGTAAGGATTCAGGGATTTAGGGTGTTTAGGGATTGAGGGTTCAGGGTTTAGGGTTCAGGGATTTAGGGTCTTTAGGGTTCAGGGATTTAGGGATTTAGGGTTCAGGGATTTAGGGATTTAGGGATTTAGGGATTTAGGGATTTAGGGATTTAGGGATTTAGGGTTTAGGATTCAGGGTTTAGGGTTTAGGGTTTAGGGTTTAGGGTTTAGGGTTTAGGGTTTAGGGTTTAGGGTTTAGGGTTTAGGGCTACTAGAATCCCGACTAAACACGAAACCCGAGGCCCTTGGGGCGGGCGAGACCTTCAGCGGTCTGGTCATTGCCTTGACTCCCTTCTTCCAAGGGCTGATTGGGATCCCGCTGCAACTCGGACTGCGCTTGGGGTTTAGGGTTTAGGGTTTAGGGTTTAGGGTTTAGGGTTTAGGGTTTAGGGTTTAGGGTTTAGGGTTTAGGGTTTAGGGTTTAGGGGACTGAGGCCTCACTGCGCTTTAGGGTTTGTTTAGGGCTGTAGGGCTTAGGGTTTTGGGGTTTAGGGTTCAGGGTTTGGGGGTTGACATCTCCTTGCGGCACGAAGCGGGAGTCGTATTCGATTAGGGTGTGGTGTTTCGGGTTTATGGGTTTGGGGGTTTAGGGTTGGGGGTTTGGGGTTTCGGCCGTTTAACAAACCAAAATGGGTTCAGGGCTGAGGGTTTGAATTTTGCCGGGGGGAGGAGGAGGGGGGGTTTGATGGAAAGAAGCAGTACTAGTAGGACCCATAAGTGGTTCAGGAGGCATCACGGCGCTGTTGGGTTTTGGGCTTCAGTATTGCATAAGGGTTTTGGGTATGAGGTGTTTAGCTAAACCCTAAACCCTAAACCCTAAACCCTAAACCCTAAACCCTAAACCCTAAACCCTAAACCCTAAACCCTAACCCTAAACCCTAAACCCTAAACCCTAAACCCTAAACCCTAAACCCTAAACCCTAAACCCTAAACCCTAAACCGGGGGCAGGAACTACATGATGCTCCGGTCGGGAATCTCCCTGAAGAACATCCTCATCGTGCCCGGGTTGCTGCTCAGGAACCTAAATTTCGTCATCGCTATAGTGACCCTAAACCCTAAACCCTAAACCCTAAACCCTAAACCCTAAACCCTAAACCCTAAACCCTAAACCCTAAGCCCTAAGCCCTAAACCCTAAACCAACATCTCCTTTACATATCTCTGCTATGATAGCCTAGTATCCCCGTCCTAGCCCTCAAACTTAAACCCTAAACCCCGAACCCTAAATTAGACCCTACACCCTGAATTTAAAGCCTGAACTCTAACTCCATCCAAGCCCCAAACCCTAAACGCTGAACCCTAAAGCCCTGAACCCTCGACCCAGTGCGCGAGACAGGGTTATACGCATAATTACCATTACCCATGAGTCTCTAAACCCTAAACCCTAAACCCTAAACCCTAAACCCTAAACCCTAAACCCTAAACCCCAAACCCCAAACCCCAAACCCTAAACCCTAAACCCTCAACCCCAAACCCAGATCATGGTGGCCGGAAGCATCCTCGGGAACATCCTCTACGCCCTCGCCGGCCTCATGCGCTCCAAGATCACCATCCTCTGCGCGCGAACCCTCATCGGAGTTCCTTGGGGTGTTTCAGGTTCAGGGTGTAGGTGTTTAGGGTGTAGGGGTTTAGGGTTTAGGGTCTAGGGTGTAATTCGGGGTTTGGGGTGTGAGGGGTTTAGGGGGTTTAGGGTTTAGGGATATTAATATGAGCTTTACCTTTCCCTTGCTTTTCTCTCTAAGGGAACCTACGAAACCCTAAACCGTAAACCCTAAACCCTAAACCCTAAAGTGTCAGGTTTGCCAGTGCCAGCTGGGTGGACCCATCTACATTGCCAAAGCCGTGGGGGTCAAGAAGAGGACGAAAGTGCCCCGTGCAGTTTAGGGTTTAGGGTTTAGGGTTTAGGGTTTAGGGTTTAGGGTTTAGGGGTTCAAAGTACACCCAAAGAACCCAACACCCCTTCAGTTAGGAATGTTCCTTACATCAGAATCAGGATCCCGTTGATTATGGTCTAACCCATTTCGACCCCTAAACCCTAGACCCTCATGATTGCCTAATCAAGGGGGGCTCCCTGGGTATGACTTGATCTGTGGATATCCGTTTCTGCTGTCCTTGTACTGTCCTGACTGCGTCGCGTCACATGATGCGTGCCACTTTGTCCTTCAAATCTAACTACCCCACTTGTCGGGTGGGGAATAAACAGAATACACAGTACACCCGAAACTTTTAAAACCCCAAGCCCTAAAACCCTCAACCCTAAAACCCTGAAGCCCGAGAACCCTAAGACCCCAAAAAACCCTAAAACCCGAAGCCTGAAAAACCTGCGATCTGAGGTGCTGTTCATTTTCTCAACCATGGCCACTCTGGCATTCACAGCGGCCCCGCTGCTTGCGGCGCTGCTGGAAACTGGGCTGCTGTGAAGCTTTCGGGTTTAGGGTTTAGTGTGGGGTTTAGGGTTTAGGGAAATTATGCAGTAAGCTCACGTACGGACAGAGACATGGCAAGTAGCACTTGGGTTCAGGGTTCAGCAGTTTATCGGAGTTTTGGGCCAGAAAAAGATTGGCCTAATTCCTGTAGAACCCTTTTATCCAGTCGAGTTGCTTATTCCAAAAAAACACAACAGTTGAGTTACAAAAGTCTGGACATATGTGTGTATACATATTTGATACTTATTCATATTTTTGTCTTTAATGAAGCAATAGATGGGTTCGCCAACTATGGTAGCTTAGCACTCGATACATATTTTTGTAATCATAGAAGTAGATGGGTCTCCTTCCCCCAAACCCTGAACCTTAATAGCCCAGCACTCAAGGTTCCCCAACAGCGGCCCAGGAAACCTTTGTGAAGGTAATCATAGAAATGGAAAAAGATGGGTCTCCTTACCCTAAACCCTAAACCCTAAACCCTAAACAGCGGCCCAGGAAACCTTTGTAAAGGAGCTGCGGATTGAGAACCTGGTCCTCGACTCTGACACGATCCCGGGCTGGTTCCTAGGTAGGCTGTTGGCTAAACCCTAAACCCGAAACCCTAAACCTTAAACCCTAACCCTAAACCCTAAATCCCGAACCCTAGACCTAGACCCTTAATCCTAAACCCTGAAGTCCTCATTGGGTTTCAGAGGATCCCATTATAGGAGCGTTTTTTTTTTCAGAGGCTTTGTATGTGTGCCATCCATTGCCATCCTAGGTTCATGGCTTTTGCCTACTACCTCTTCCTTCTGAAGGTTGTCTTCTTCTTCGAGAACCTGGGTCGTTGTTGAAACTCATTTTACATTTTTGTGAATAGTATAGCCTAAACCCTAAGCCCTAAGCCCTAAGCCCTAAGCCCTAAACCCTAAACCCCAAACCCTAAACCCTAAACCCTAAACCCTAAACCCTAAACCCTAAACCCTAAACCCTAAACCCATGGTGCAGGAACCCGGAAGATGCACCGGGCAAGCAGGAGAGTCATGAGAGCCAGGAGGATGCGTCACCAGAAGCTGGGCAGCCCAGTGGTACCCCTTTGCAGGGGTTTAGGGTTTAGGGTTTAGGGTTTAGGGTTTAGGGTTTAGGGTTTAGGGTTTAGGGTTTAGGGTTTAGGGTTTAGGGTTTAGGTTTTTGTTTGGGTTCTGGGTCCCCTTTTCAAGTAACCAGCCAAAAAGTATGGGAGCCCCTATTATCATATGGTTCCTGAACGCTAAGCCCTAAGCCCTGAACCCTAAACCCTAAACCCTAAACCCTAAACCCTACACCCTAAACCCTAAACCCTAAACCCTAAACCCTACACCCTAAACCCTAAACCCTAAACCCTAAACCCTAAACCCTAAACCCTAAACCCTAAACCCTAAACTGGGCTACCAAGGAACGGCTGTGGACCAGCGGGTTCTTGGTGTGCCTCTTCGCCGCCTTTGCGAGCTCCTGGCTGGCAGCTGAGTGAGGTTTAGGGTTTAGGGTTTAGGGTTTAGGGTTTAGGGTTTGGGGTTTAGGGTTTAGGGTTTAGGGTTTAGGGTTTCCCCCTTTTAGAAGTTTTGAAAAAGCAACCAACCCCCGGTTACTCCTAGGTTCCCTTTTAAACAGCAACCAAATCCCCAAAACAGCGGGGAGCCCTTGCTATCATACGGTTACCCTGGTAAAGTAACCCAATCCCCCCAAAGAAGGGAACCTAGACCCTGAACCCTAAACCCTAAACCCTACACCCTAAACCCCTCTTGTGTTATCATACGGTTACTGGGCCACCAAGGCTCCCTGACCAACACCATGGCCATCGTCTTCTTCGTGAAGCTGGCGGAGACTTACTAATATGCACCTTAAGGGATTGTACAGGGTACCGCCCTAAACCTTAAACCCTTAAACCCTGAACCCTGAACCCTAAACCCTAAACCCTAAACCCTGAACCCTAAACCCTGAACCCTGAACCCTGAACCCTAAACCCTAAACCCTCAACCCTAACCAACAGTAAGGAGAAGACCTGGGGATGGAGCGTGTCCGTGACGGCCTTTGCCTTGGCCGGCTTCATGGCGGTCGTGTCCCTGCTGTCCCTGGGTCATTGTTGCGAATAATGTTACTTGTTTATGAATACTTAAGGGTTTAGGGTTTAGGGTTTACCCCAATACAGAATAGAAAATGATCACTTCGACTAGTTCCCCATCAATGGTGCAGGTCCCTTATCAGCAGCCGCTTGGCGAAGCTGGTAGAAGACCGGAAGGGCCTGCAGTTCAGTGCCTGCTTGGGAGCCGCGTGCTCGATGATCACGATTCCCTTCTCGCACAGCTGGCCCGCGGCTGCCATAACCGTCATGTTCGTCGGCCTCTTGCTGGTCCAGTCCTGTGCATCTAGGCCCCAGAGTAGTAGCCCTTGTTCCCATTTTTGTGTTGTAGGGTTCAGGTTGTTGCTATTCCAGTCTTGTGTATCTAGGGCCCAGACTAGGGCCTGAATCCCTTCTTTGCGGCTTCAGGTTCCCTTATAAGCCCCTTAGTAGCCTCTGGCTGGTCCAGTCCTGTGCATCCAGGACCCAGAGTAGGCCCATTTGCCCCTTTTTTTAGCCCCTTATAGTACCCTAAACCCTAAACCCTAAACCCTAAACCCTAAACCCTAAACCCTAAACCCCAAAACCCCAAAACAGGGGGCTCTTTTTTTGTACTCCCGGGTTGCTCTTGGGTCTAGGCATCGGTTGTCAAGAACTACGCCTATGCCCTGGCGCCGAAGATTGTGGCGCCGCGCTTCAAGGATCGGGCCAGCGCTATTAACATGATCTTGCTGATGCTCCTGCTCTTGAAGATTAACTTCTGGTTTTGGGGTTCTGTTTCAGGGCCCCCCTAAACCCTAAACCCTAAACCCTAAACCCTAAGCCTTAAACCCTAAGAACAGCTAAGGCTCGGGCGGGGTGCCGGGGCACAGCTGGGGGCAATCCTGACCTCCGTTGGCTTCGCAGGGTCGCAGCTCTGTACTTACCTGCGCCTTACCTGCTATTAGGGTTGAGGGTTTACGGTTTTGGGTTTACTTCCCTGCGCCTTACCTGGCCAATAGTTGAATTTTACACTTTTTGGGGCCTCCTTATTCAGTAGGAATAATCCTACAACCGAAGTTATGGCTTTTGAAGAATCGCTTTCAAGGCTACTCTTCTTCCTTTCCTGGATGTTCGCTGCCCACCTGAAGCAGCATGCCAAGGCAACCTAGGCATCCCGAACTCGTTCATCCCCATTTGCAATCGCAACTTTTGCTATTCTGGACCAATCGTGTCCGAATAGCTCCCTGCAGGTGTGAATGAAATCAGCCTGGGGCGGAGAATTGTACAGCCATCACAATGGACTGCCTCTGCAGGAAATGAAATTTCAATGCAAGCGCCTTTTCACACGATGGTACAGTCATCAGTGAATCAGCCATCAGTTTAAGATCCATGTGTGAAAAGAAAAGCCTGGTTACGTGGGGGGGGGGGGGGGCTTGATCTAAAGTAGGGGGGCTGCTTTTGGCCCCTAAATGGGGAACAGGGTTTGGGGTTAAGGGTTTAGGGCCCCTTTTACCTTCATTATCCTTAAGCTGTACAACAGGTACGCAGTATGAGTGTTGAGGTATCTTCCTTTACCAAGTTGCTCTAAACCCCAAATGCTAAACCCTATAAAGTAGTCTACAGTATGTACTGTCTTGTTTAATTAGTGGATATTGAGTGCTACGTGTGTCCGAATGGATTCGGAACCCCCGTGGAGAGGGTTGTCCGGGACGCTGCTTGCACGAGCATTCTCAAGTTTCGGGTGTCGGGGTCTAGGATTTAGGGTTAGGGTTTAGGGTTTAGGGTTTAGGGTTTAGGGTTTAGGGTTTAGGGTTTAGGGTTAAGGGCTCAGGGCTCAGGGCTTAGGGTTTCGCGCGCCTAGGTGCCTTTGCCGAAGCCTACGCACCGCAAGCTCTGAGCGCCCGTTGCTGTTCCCTCAGCCTGGTCCGGAAAGATCTTCTACAAGTTGATTAAGAACCCCCCAAAAACAAAAATATATTCTGTAATATAGGGATTCTACTGGTTGCTTAAGAACCCCCCCCCCCAAAAAAAAAAAAAAAACACATCAACATCTGTAATATAGGGATTCTCATTCTGTTTTTTTTGCGGGGGCTCTTAAGCAAATGGTAGTCTTCCTTTCCTGGCGCAGGTCTTGTCGAGGTCCTGTGTACGTTCGGGAAAGCTGAAGTTTCCCATTGCTTCTGCATTCAGGCCGTCCTTCGGGGTTAAAAGATCTGAAACAAGGAACGGGAACCCTTTGCACAGTCATGTGCCGAAGCCTTCATGCCCAAACTGAGCTGAAATACGAGTGTGTGTTCCAGTAACTCAACTTCAGCAGGACTACTATTTGCTTACGAACCCCAGGAAATATACACATATATATATATATATATATATATATATATATTAAAAAATCCCTACATTACCCTTATAAGGAACATTTTGTTTTGTTTTTTTTTTTTTTGGGGGGGGGGGGGTTCCTAAGCAAATGGTAGAGGACGATGTGCTGCAAGCGCGTGCGTGAGAGACACGTGTCCTGTGCTCGGTTCGAGAGCCGAGGTACATTGCAGTCCTGTTAGCTTGGGGCACCACGTGACATGAAACAGAACCTAATCCCTAAACCCTAAACCCTAAACCCTATTGTCGACGATGGCTGCTTACCGTCTGCTGGCTCCAGCTTGCACTCTCTCGCATTGCGACGTGCATCCGCAGCATGGACATACGTGAAGGCAAGAAACATGCGACCGCGACACTGCCATAAATGAATACCCTAGTTACAGGTTTAGGGTTTAGGGTTTAGGGTTTAGGGATACGGGGGTTCCGATATTAGGGTCCTCGTTATGAGGGAACCCTTCTTGGGGTCTTCTTAGGGGTTTCTTATCTTCGTAAACCCCCCATGTGTTCATTGTTACCCTTATGATTATAACTGTTGTTTTGACTAGTACTTCTTGGTGGTTAAGTCCTAGACAGCCGGGCTTAGTGTTTAAGTTTACCATGTAAGGTTTCAGGGCTTCAAAGATCAGAGGAAAGTGTCGGCTGCTGAGCAGGGAGTATGCCAGATCCTCCAGAAAATTGGACCCCGGAGCCCTTCCTACCCCTTAGTCAAAGAAGGTTTCTTAAACCCCAAGCCCCAAACATTAAAGCCTAAACCCTAAACCCTAAACCCTAAACCCTAAACCCTAAACCCTAAACCCTAAACCCTAAACCCTAAACCCTAAACCCTAAACCCTAAACCCTAAACCCTAAACCCTAAAAACCCTAAACCCTAAACCCCCAACCTTAGGGAGCCTTCTTATGAATGAAGCCATCTTCCTTAAGTAAGGGGCATTGGGCTCATTCAGGGAGGCGGCTCCCGTGACTCCGATGCACTCATGGGCAGCCATCTCAGGCGCGCGTAAGCCCTAAGCCCTAAACCCCAAACCCTAAACCCTAAACCCCAGTATATTCTTGGGTCCTGGTCCTTGACTCTGTTGAGGGCGTCGGGGTTTTGAGGTGTGGGGTTCAGAAGTTTAGATATGGGGCTTAGGGCTTTAGAGGGTTCATGGCTTGCATGCATTAGATTTGGCAGCACCTGGGGCGTTTAGGGTTGTCCGAAGTCCCGAAACGCACCCTAAGCACCCAAGCCCCCAAGCTCTAAATCCTTAGTCGCTAGAACCCTAAACCCTAATCCCCGAACTCGAGACACTCGCCTGCCCGGAGCTGCCCTGAGCCCTGAATCCCAAACCCACAGACGCCACAAGGGTTTAGGGTTTAGGGTTGAGGGTTTAGGGTTTAGGGTTTAGGCCTAAACTCTAAACCCCAAACCCGCAAACCCCTAAACCCTAAACTGCCCCACAAACCCTACAACCTCACACTCATCAACTCTACAGCCCCAAAAGCTGCCAAGGTTTAGGATTTAGGGTTTTGGGTTTAGGGTTTAGGGTTTAGGGTTTAGGGTTACTAAAATCCCTACAGCTCCAAACCCTTGCAACCCTAAAACCTACACCCACGCTCTAGAAACCCAAGCCCTACACTAAGCTGCCCCAAACCCCTCAACCCCCCAAACCCTTCGCTGCCCCAACCCTTGCAACCCTACAACCCTGCACCCCTAAACCCTAAACCCTAAACCCTAAACCCTAAACCCTAAACCCTAAACCCTAAACCCTAAACCCTAAACCCTAAACCCTAAAACCCTAAAACCCTAAAACCCTAAAACCCTAAACCCTAAACCCTGAGCCCCTAAGTCCGGAGCCCCAACACGCTACGACCGTGGCCCAAGGTGTCAGCGCTCCGCAGGCATCGTCAGCGCCGCTCAACCAGGCGCGGGGGGGGGGGGGGGGGGGGGGGGGGGGTGCTGTTCTAGGGCTCAGGGGGTTTAGGGTGTATGGGTTCAGGGTTTAGGGTTTAGGGTTTAGGGTTTAGGGTTTAGGGTTTAGGGTTCAGGGTTTAGGTTTAGGGTTTAGGGTTGAGTAGCCTGAGGTGGCTTAGGGCTCCGGGTTTCCGGTTTCAGGGTTGAGGGGCTTAGGGTTGAGGGGTTTAGGGTTGAGGGACTTAGAGTTGAGGGGTTTAGGGTTTAGGGTTTAGGGTTTAGGGTTTAGGGTTTAGGGTTTAGGGGTTGGGTTTTGGGTTTAGGGGTTGGGCATTTGGGTTTAGGGGTTTAGCGTTTTTTGGGGTTTAGAATGCGCTGGACGTCTCAAAAATGTGTCAGTTTGGGGCGCATAAAATGGGCACGATGTCAGGTGGGATTTGTGAGATTTCTGAGTTCAGGGTTTAGGGTTCTTTGGGGAGTAGTATCATCACAGACGTTTAGTGTTCAGGGGTTGCTGTGGTTGAGATGGGAACATGGTCCCGATGCCCTGCATAGGGTTTAGGGTTGAGGGTTTAAGGGTTCAGGGTTTAGGGTTATGGCCTATAGAGATTGCCTCGTTATAGAGCCCTCGAATCCGGTTCTGTAGCCGGGCACCACTCAGAATTCTCACTTCCCCCTTATTTCTCCATGTGGGTGGCTGTCAAAATGATGATCCCTTTTAGGGTTTAGGGTTTAGGGTTTAGGGTCTAAACCCTAAACATTAAGTGCCGTACTCTAAGAGGGATCCAAAAAGGGACCATAATTTGACAACCACCCATGTAGAACCCTGCTCATAGGTGGTTTGGGGGATGATGGAAAGGTGGACCTAGTATGCCCCTAAGGCCCCCTAAGCCCTAAACCCTCAACCCCTCAACCCTAAACCCGAACTCCCTAAACCCTAAACCCTAAACCCTAAACCCTAAACCCTAAACCCTAAACCCCTAAGCCACCAAGGCCCCGAAGCCCACAGCTCGCGACAGGTACTGGACGCGCTACACTCGCAGACCGCTCCTCAGAGCCGTGTGTCGGCTTTGGAGGTTTAGTGGTTTAGAATTTTGATTTTACGTGTAGAGGTTCAGGTTTTGATTTAAGGCTAAAAGTTCATGGTTTAGGGTATAGGGCAGGCTTAGAGTAGGGTTGAAAGGTTCGGAGGTTTAGGGTTTAAAGGTTTAGGGGTCTAGGGGCCTAGGTTTTTTTGGTTTAGTGTTTAGGGCTTAAGGTTTCAAGGCTTCAAGGTTTAGGGATTAGGGTTTATGGGTTTAGAGGTTTGAAGGTTTGAGGGTTTAGGGTTCAGAGGTTTAGGGTTACAGGTCTAGGGTTTAGGGTTTAAAGGTTCAGGGCTCAGAGGTTTAGGGTTAAAAGGTTGAGGGTTTAGAGGTTTAGGGGTTTACGGTTCAAGGCTTACGGTTTAGGATTTAGGGTTTATAGGTTCAGGGTGTAGAGGTGTAGGCTTAGTGGGTTTACAAAAATATTGTTTAGGGTTTAGAGTGGTAACAAGCTTTCACCACACACAAGAACCCTGAAAGCTCAAGCCTAACCCCCCCCCCCCCCCCCCCCCCCAAACCCTCAGGCTTTTGCCTCGGGCTTGGGAACTTATGAGTATTCAGAGAGAACGAAGGGAATCTAGTCCTAAACCCTAAACCCTAAACCCTAAACCCTAAACCCTAAACCCTAAACCCTAAACCCTAAACCCTAAACCCTAAACCCTAAACCCTAAACCCTAAACCCTAAACCCTCCCATAAGGACTCTATAATCAAGGCAGGGCCAGCTGAGCCTTCTCTCTAAGCACCTGGCGTCCCTCCGCGATGAGCACGAGGCCAGGATGGCGGGGTTTAGGGTTTAGGGTTTAGGGTTTAGGTGTT